TGAACACAGTAATAATTTGTTCAAAAGATACAACAAAAACTGTTCAACAAAAAAAGAAAGGAAAATCAAAAACCATTGGTTCAAAACCAGCCTGGAAAGATAAATTCTCCAGATTCTTATTTCCAGTAACCACCAAAATGTCAGGAGTGGGGCTGTGATTCAAATGGTAGAGTGCCAGCCTTGAATAAAAAGGCTAAGGGATATCATCCAGGCCCTGAGTTCCTGGTCAATTTGAGGTAAGAGTCTCATGGACTTTCCGGATCAGGCCCAATTGGGAAAGCTTTTTTATCTGTGGATTCAGCTCTGCTGTCTGCCATGCTGATAGTCAGGCTGGGTGACAGATTCCCAAAGAATCCCACTGTCTTTTCTTAAATGTGGATTGAGAACTAACAGCTATTGCAGTGTGGGCATTTTGCTCTGAAGTTACGTGGAACTCTTCATACTCTGGCTGTTGACGAATATAAAATTCTGGTAAAGGTTATACTTAGATTATAAAGGTTACTTAGATTATTGAATCGGTGGCTATGCCCACAGGAAGGAAAAGATAGGTGAGAACATTTTGCCCCCAAAAGGCTTTGTAAGTGAGGTGGTCTGGCCTAGGTACCATCTCCTTCCAAGCTAGCTGCCTTTACCCTCTTGACTTCAAGGGTCAAATCAGCTGCATCTTTTTTTTTTATTTACCCAAGGTGTATGGGAAGTGAACTTTGAATTCCTGATTGTCTGGAAATGATTATGGACATCTTAGCTTAGATATATATTGGGCTGGGTATAGAATTCCGAGTTGGTACTTTGAAGGTGCTGCTCCTGCCCCTGCACCTGATGTCACTGATGAAACTTGCTGCCACCTGAGCCATGCCTTTGCAGATAGGACTTGCTCTCATGCTTCAGGCTTCTGAAATTTCTCTGGAACAGGTCTGAAAGTGGGCCAGTTTTTATTTACTTTGACCTGGCACCGGTGGGCACTTTTATCCTAAACTGTTTTCCTTTCCGTTTGGAGAAATGCTATTCCACTGTCTAGTTATACTTGGTGATAACTATTCACGGAACTCCTGTTACATACTTGTCAGATTTCTAGGTGTTTCTTTCCTATCACTTAATGTTTCTCTCTCCTTCTGCTACACTTCTCTTTCTCATTTGGGCTTTTGTTTGGGTCAGCATTTGAAAAATGGTGATGTGGTGTATATGCAATGTAACATCTTGAAAATGGAAAATTGATGGGCTTTGACAAATGCACACACAGGTGCTACCTACCTGGTCTGGAATGAGACAGAGCATTCTGTCTATCCCCAAGGTTTCTCAGTTCCCACATCTACCCACCACATAGGTAACAAGTGTGTGATTGTTGACCCCCTTTTACTCATCCTGTCTCTACTGAGTTTTGCATTGCAATGGTATCAAACTAGGTATACTCTTCTATCTGGTTTTCTTTGTTCAGCTTGATCCTTTTGGGTTTCACCCATGTAAGACCAGGAATTTTTTTTCTTTTCCTTGCTGAGTTGTATTACTGTGTGGATGGGTTATACCATAGGTTGGTTCCCATTCATCTGGCCCCAGATATTTCAGCTGTGTCCAGATTGAGCTTATCTAAGCATTGAACTTTTTAATAAGGCAAGCCCAGCTTGAATTTGCAAGAATTCTTTCTTGGTTCTTTCTTTCTTTTCTTTTCTTTTTTTTTTTTTGGCACCATTCCTGGGCTTGAACTCACAGCTTGGGTGCTATCCCTGAGCTTCTTCATTTTGCTTCAGCCACAGCTTCACTTGTACTTATTTTGGTGATTAATTGGAAATAACAGTCTCATGCCTAGTCCCAGGCTGGCTTCAAATCACAATCCTTAGATCTCAACCAGCTAGGATACAGGCATGAGCCACTGGTGCCCTGTCTTTCATGGTTCCTTTTTAATAGAAGCTTGGTCTTTGGTATGTATATCAACTTCTTGCATCTGTATAGGAACATAGATAGAGGTGTCCATCTGTTTAAACTTTGATTCCTTTCTTTCTGGGGTCTCTGGGAGCGGAATGGAATGGTAGGATGTAGACAGAGTTGGTGTAAGTCTGCCAAGGTGCTTCTCTCTCTCAGCAGCATTGTGCTAGGAGGACCATTGTTTTTAGCTGCCTGGGAACTGAATGAGCTATCTTATTGTTGCCCTTCTGGGAGATGTACAGTGCAGTCCCAGTGTGGTTTGAACCTGAATTTTTCAGTGGCTGGTAACACCGATTACTTTTCATGTCTAGTTGGCCATCTCTGTGTCATCTTGGACAAAGTGTCCACTCATGTCTTCGTGTGTGTGTGTGTGTGTGTGTGTGTGTGTGTGTGTGTGTGTGTGTGTGTGTGTGTGTGGTGTGTGTGTGTGTGTGTGTGTGTACTTATGTACATGCCAGTACTGAAGCTTTTACTCAGGGCCTTGAACTCCTGCATGGCTGTTTCACTTAAGCTGACATGCTACCATTTGAACCACAATTCTACTTCTGGCTAATTGGAGATAAGAGTCTTATGGACTTTTCTGCCTGGGCTGACTTTAAAACGAGACCCTCAGATATTAGCCACCTGAGTCTCTAGTATTACAGGCATGAGCCAGAATGCCTGGCCATGTCTTTTTAAAAATTACATTATAGACATTCTCTATGATCAAGGTTTAAGTCTTTTGTCAGAAACTTGTATTGAGAAAAGTTTCTGCCTTGGCTTGTTTTATCTTCAATAACTAATAACTTTAATGAGCAGACCATGTTGCCCAGTTATTATCTAGGTTAAAGATGAATTTTTTTGTACTCAATGTTTTAGTAGATTGTGGAATATCTTATTTTTCTAATTTTTGAGGGTCTTGTTTTGTTCTGGTACTGGGGCTTGAATTCCATGTCTAGGCTCTGTCCCTTAGCTTCTTCACTCAAGGCTGACAACTCTACTACTTGAGACACAGCGCTACTTGTGGCTTTTTGGTGGTTAATTAGAGATAAAAATCTCACAGACTGGCTTTGAACATTGAGCCTCAGCTCTCAAGTTTCTGAGTAGCTAAGATTACAAGTATGAGCCATCAGCACCTGGCTCAAATGTTGGGCAGTTTATTAAGGTAAGCCTAGCTTTACTTTGCAGGAACTCTTTCTTGAAGGTTCTTTTTAAAGAAGCTTGCTCTTAGGTAAGCATGTGAACTTCTTGGATCTTCATAGGAACATTAATTAGATATCTTAAAGTTGCCTTGGTCTCTGAATTATTTGTCTTTCTATGTTTAGTTGCGCTGATGGTTTTTCTGTCTTTAGCTCTGTTGTTGATGGCTTCTGTCCAGTCCTGCTCATTCGTGGAAGAGCCCATTGAAAGCTTGTGTTGTGGGTCAGAGATCTAGTGGAGCTGGTAGAAGAATGGCCTGCTGGGAGATCATTTATTTTTCTTTCTTTTTTCTTCTTCTTCAAATTAGCAATACTGAAGTTTATGCTAAAGGCCTAACGCATGTTAGTCAGATCCTCTACCACTTAAACCATGCCCTATTTTTGGGGGGGGGGGGGGGGAGGTTAGTTAATTTTACATTTGTGGGAAGGGTCAGGGTCTGCCTGTACTGTGATCTTCCTACCTGTGCCTCCTGTGTAGCTGGGATTATAGATATGAATCACCACACTCTCTTTGTTTGTTGAGATGGGATCTTGTTAACTTTTTGCCTGAGCTAGCCTTGAGCCATAATTCCCCCAATCTTGTCATCATGAATAGCTAGTATTACAAGAGTGCACCACTGAGTCTGGTACATGGAAGATAATTTCTTAACAAGGTAGCCCTTGTCATGAATCTATAGTTCACCTGTCTTCTTATTGGAATCATACTTGATGATTTGAGACCTCCAAAGAATCTTGTCTTGTGTTTCCTTTTAGTTCTGCTCTTGCTCACATCTATCCAAACCCACCTGTTTTCTGTCTTCTCCAGGATTTCTCTGTTCTCTGTTCAGTTGTGTTTATAGTTTCCTTCTGAAAAATAACACATGACTCTTTTGTCACATTCCTGTGGCTCTTGGGTGGGAAGAGGCAGGCATTGCTCTTTAGCCCTCTTGGGTCAATGCCAGGAGGTGACTGAGGCACCTCTCAGGTGGAGGTGAGAAGGTCACACTGTGCTGGCCCCACAGGGAGAGGTCATGTTGGGCCCACGGACTAGGGTTTCATCTTGAACTTGATGATGTGTCAGTAAAGGATTTGAGAAAGGAGAGAAGTGTGGGGTGGGTGGGAGTGGGGGATAGAGGAGGAAATGGGGGAGCTGGGTCAGGCAGGGTGGGAGGGTGCTGTTAAGTGGAGTCTGTATGTGCTGCAGGGTTGGTGGGGCCTCTTTGGAACATTCGGAGTTCTTGCCCTTGCTCACACACCTCATGGGGGTCCTAGGAGGCGAAGGATGTCTGCTTTTTCTTCCCTGTTCTAAACTTCAGGTCAGTGGATTTGTTCTGCTGGCCACAGTGGCCTGAAATTGAGACCCTCCTGACTCAGAGGACCTGGGGTTCTAGCGGTTGGTGTGGAGTGTGCCAAGACTGTCCTTTTCTAGCTCAGCTCTGGTGTCTGGCATGTGTCAGCCTTTGCTCTGGTCCAGTCTCCTGGGTCTTGAGCACTTCCTCCCAATTGTGTATACATTAGAAGCAAACTGCTGTTTCATTCCTTTTAACAAACACTCACAAAGTAAATGATTGCTGAGGGAACAAAGCCTCCGAGGTGTTTTTAATGAGAAAGTGCATGAACTTGGCAGGGTGGATCTTGCGCTGGTTCTGGCTTCCTGGAGCTTCTTTTTGCAGAAAGCCCCATGTAGGGGCTACAGAAGGGACTCACAGGTCAGTGGTGGTGGCCTCCTTGCATGTTCTGTGGGTAGAGCAGAATGGCAGACTGCTGTGTGATGCTGCTGGCACAGGCCATGTCTCCAAAGCTTCCTATTACTCTTGCCACCTCTTCTTGTATCCATTACATTTACCTTGCTTCCATAAAGAACAATGCTGCAGGGCCAAAGCTCTCAAGCACTGCCAACCCAGTGTGTTTCTCTTACTCCAGGACCGGAAGCTCACCAAGCTGGAGCGACAGCGTTTCAAAGAGGAGGCTGAGATGCTGAAAGGCCTACAGCACCCCAACATCGTGCGTTTCTATGACTTCTGGGAGTCCAGTGCCAAGGGCAAGCGGTGTATTGTACTGGTGACTGAGCTGATGACCTCGGGGACACTGAAGACGTAAGTGCTGCCTGCCCACTGGCCATGTGGTTTTGGCCATGGGTTCATGGTCATAGTAGGTAGGGGTGATAGAGGTCCCAGGCTATAGGGACCATCCTCCTATGACCCAATGTTGTGTATCTTAGAAGTGCTCCTCTTGGGTGATAAGTCTTTGTCCTCTGGACAGTGAGAAGTCTCTTCCCTAAATGAGAAGAAACAAAGAAATCTGGCATTTCTTTTTAGCATCTGGCTTGCTCTGGCTTCCTAGACAAATGAGACCCATCCCCAGAGGCAGTTTTGAGACTATCCTCACTGTCCCCTCCTGAGTAGGACACCAGGGGTTTGCTTTGCAGTGCAATGGTTTGTTTTTCCACTCTGTCTGGGGCTTTGCTTCTGGCCATACATGAGCCAGCCCACCACGAGCTCTTGTGGGAAGCTGTCTAGAACAGGTGTAGAGGACTGGATTCAATGAAGCCTTGGGAGCTGGTGGCCATGGGTTGTCATGGCAGATGCCCCTCCCTGAGGCCTTGGTGCACCATGGGGACAGAGGACTTTTCCTCTGGGTGTCCACAGCTTAGTTTTGTCTGAGTTGTTCTGACCTGAACATCAGCTCTCTACAGTGTGCAGATACAGCAAAGAAAGGCCCCCTTTCCCTACCTCCCCTGTTACTCCACCCTGGGGATACCTCAGAGCAGACTACTCAGGTAGCCAGGTCAAGGACCCCTTTCTTGATCCCTAGCTCTATGTCTTTGCACAGGCTCTGGGCTCCCCTAACCCTCATTCTTACCTAGATATCCACTGGCTGAGACTGTTGTGCCATAGCAGCTTTTCCCTTGGTCGGGGGAAGATCAGAACTGTGCCTGGCAAGAGCCTTACAAGGTCTGTAGTACAGGAAGCAAGTGGAGAGTCATGGCCCTGGCCTGCTGCCTGCTCAGGGCTGCTTTACCCGTGTGGCTCTGGTCAGGGGCAGGATGCCTGGCCTTCTAGCTGCCTGTTACAGGGTGCTGGACAGGCTTTATGACAGACTGGATGGTGCTAGGCTGGGCCTTTGCAGAGGGTCCGCTGCTCCTGAGCTGCTTGGTGAGCTTTGTCCCCCATCCCAGGTACCTGAAGCGGTTCAAGGTGATGAAGCCCAAGGTGCTGCGCAGCTGGTGCCGGCAGATCCTAAAGGGCCTGCTGTTCCTGCACACAAGGACGCCGCCCATCATCCACCGAGACCTCAAGTGTGACAATATCTTCATCACCGGGCCCACTGGGTCTGTGAAGATTGGCGACCTGGGCCTGGCTACCCTCAAAAGAGCATCATTTGCCAAAAGTGTGATAGGTAAACCCATTCTCCTCCCCTGATTTACTCCAGGAGCCCAGTGAAAACTGGGCAGCATTTGAGGGATCACAAGTGCCTAGATTTTCTTGGCAGCTGCAGATCTGGTGCAGGAAGCTTAAGCTGAGTGTCTGAACCCACGGACTTCAGGCTGGGTGTGCAAGCAGCCTTTCCTTCCCTGGGACCTGTTGGATAGGAATGCACTGCCACCGAGCTGGGCACATTGACTTTACTCCTTTTGCTGCCCCTTCCCTGTCCAGATTCAGGATGTCACTGGCTTCTGCATTATCTCCCTGGCTATTAGGTGCCAGCTGTGATGATCAGGTAAAGGTGGTAAGCTAGGTGCCAACTTCTGTGGTATGTGTGGGTGCTGCAGCCGGTGAGGAAGTGGCTCTGACAGAGGAACTGGAAGCTTGTGGCAAATGATGCTGGAGATGGTCCCAGAAAGTAGAAGTGTGCCCCAGCTGTGGGGCTCCTGGAAGTAACAACTTGGGGTATCTGGAGACAGAGCTGGAGGAGGCCCAGAGCTGGGCCTGCTTAGTGTTGGGAGGTGACACAGAGGGATTTGGCTTCTGGGCACTCTACCCTCCTTATTGCCCTCAGTTCTTGGCTTTGTTGTCTTCCTCTGAGAAGCCTTCCTGATTGATGTTTTAGAGCAGTGGCCTGGGTCTTGGGACACCCCATCCATAGCTGCTGTGTGAGATGAAGATCTGGATCGTACCATGTACCCAGCCCCAGGGTGGTCTTGACACAATGGCACTAAGAGTTCAACATACCCTGAGCAGACCTGGTGGGCTTTGAGGCCCTTGGAGGGGCTGCAAGGATGGCTGCTTATGAGGGTTCCTGCCTTAGTGACAGGTGTGGCTCAAGAATGAGGTTGGGCCAGATGCTAGTAGCTCATACCTGTAATCTTAGCTACTCTAGAGGTTGAGATCTGAGGATCATGGTTCAGAGCCAGCCTGGGCAGGAAATTGAAGATCGGAGTCTCATGGACTTTCAATTAACTACTAAAAGGCTGGAAAAGGAGCTATGGCTCAAAGTGGTAGCGCATTAGCCTTGAGCACAAAAGCTCAGGTACAGTACCCAGGCCCTGAATCTAAGCCCCAATACCAGAACCTTCCCACCCTCCTAGCCGACCTCCCCCGCCCCCCCCCCCCCCCCCGAAAAGGAGTAGATTGGGAGAGGTCTCATGTTAACTTAATGGAGTAACTCTCCTGTGGAGGGGGGATGGATGGTAGCTGGTCTCTGGGCTTTGTGAATTTGTGTTTTTGCTGCATGTTTAGGGACAGCACTTGGCCTGTTCGGGAAAATTAAACTCTTGGTAATCCCTTGGGAACTGTTCCATTGAATTGTGTTTGGAAGGTGGCAATCTGGATCAGGATAGTTGCCTGGGGAAGTCCTTCGGACCACTTTGGTAATCATTGGCAGCCCTGGGAGAGCAAGTGGTAGGGAACAAGGATGGGCCAAGGCCTCAGTTTTCCTGTCTGTGAAATGGGTGTGGTGAACAAGCATCTCTGCTCCATCCTGGGGGAAGCACACTCCAGGGCTATGGGGAATACATACTCAGGCTCTGATCTTCATACAGTTTCCAGAAAAGTTTTGCAAACTTTGCCCTTGGAAATGATTCCTGGCCTCAGACAGGTGGAAGGATGGCAGTAGAGCTGCTTAGGGTCCTGCCTAAGAAGTAAACATCCAGGACCAAAGTACATACCTGTGAACTTCCAGGCTTCTGGAAATGAGGCTTTGTATTGTTGAACCGAGTTGAGTTGAAGGCTGAGTGTTTCCTGGGCCTGTGGGGTGTCTCCCTTCATTCTGGATTTTTCTCAGCCAAAGCCTAAGAGGCTCAGTTACGAGGCCGGGACCAAGGGTGTCCTCAGTTGCCCCTGCCCTTGGGAACCAAAGCCTGGTTCTCAGGGCTCTCCTGGGCACTGAGCCCAGAGGCCTGTCCTCAGCAAAGGTCTTCCAGGTGAGGGAGCAGCCACAGGCGGACGGGAGCTTTCCAAGTCCATATTCAGGCATCCTACCCAGGCATTCTCTCTATGAAACTTTTTCCAAGGCTTGTTAGTCGAGTGCCCCCTGCCTGTGAGAAATGTTGGTTCAGGCCACCTACAGGGTTGCCTGCCCTGCTGACAAAGGGTCCAAGGCTTCCTGGACTCTGCAGTCACATGGGAGGGAAACAGGCCCCCTCTCCTGTCTGGGGCATCTCAGGAGCAGTTGGCATTATGGACCTCTTTCCCTGTGGTAAGTTTTGCAGGCCTTTGCTTTGCCCTCAGTCATGGTGCCCTCGTGAGGGTGGGTCAGGGATCCACAGCTGCCCTGGGAAGGGTGTATATGGTTTCTAGGAGGTGGTCTCTTCATGAGTGGGTGTCATCCTCTCTCTGACCATTGCCATTACTTGGGATTGGGTCAGTGTTATGAACCAGGTATCACCAGCAGGCCTAGATATGGGTCTTGCTTGTTTGTGTACATTGCACCAGGGCTAGGAACATTACCCAGGCCCCTCACTAAGAATGGTGGCAATGAGATGGATCCAGCCCTGCCTGTAGGTTGACTACAACTTCCCAGGTGGCTATGTAGTAAGCAGGACCCTGGGGGCTACTGAGGTGTCTAGCCTACCCAGAAGGGCTTCCTGGAGGTTGTGGTGATAGAATCAGGTCCAGTAGGGAGTAAACAGAAAAAGGCCAAGATGAACTGAGGTAGTTATTTTCAGAAAAAGCTCTGGGTGGGCTGAGTGAACCAGGTAGAGGTAGGAGAGGGGCTGGGCTATTGGAGACCTTGTGGCTGTTACAAGTAAACAATTAGGGACCAAGGCAATGTGGAGTCTACAGGGTAGATAGGGAAGCATAGAGATGGGTTTCTCCTGTTCACTGAGAAGAAGGGCAAGGGCCAACTGTGTTGATTTGGTTTGGTTTTAACAAAACTCAACAGAATAGGTAGAGCTAGGAAATAGTTAAGGCTTAGATTTCTATGAAGGAAGTCATTTATCATTCAGCACAGATCCAGAACCTGGTAAACTGGACAGTGGTTGGTTTTCATGGGCTGTAGGGTAATTTTAATGTCAGACTGGAGAGGGTTCCTCCCTACCTTATTTCTTTCAGGCCCTAAGACACAGCCCCTGTTCACAGGGGACCAGGATGCTGCCCAACTACAACCCTGCAGCTACTTCTCTGTCAAAAAGCAAAAAACAAAACAAAAAAAATGGATATCAGTGGCTCGTGCCTGTAATCCTAGCTACTCAGGAGGCTGAGATTTGAGGATTGCAGTTCAGAGCCAGCCTGGGCAAGAAAGCCCATAAGTCTTTAATTAAACACCAAATTAGCTGGAAGTGGAGCTGTGGCTGTAATGGTAGAATATTTGAATACAAAAGCTAAGGGACAGCACCCAGGTCCTAAATTCAAGCCCAGGACTGAGAGGATTAAAAAAAAAAAGCAGAAGAAAGTTAGGCTTGTCTCTGTAGAGCTCTTGCCTGCTTCCTGCAGGGCAGGAGTGAAGGGGGGTGTGGGGGGAGATGAGGTGCAGTCTTTACTTGACACAGGCATTTTATCTGCGTGAACCTGGGGGTTGCTGTGTAAGGGGCCTGTGGGTCCAGGAACAGCAGCCATGCAGATGATGACTGAATGTGAAGTGGAATGGTGAGTGGGATTGTCCCTGGACACATAGGTATGTATATGTTTGAACACACGCATCATGTCTTATCTCTAAAATTCAGATTTAAATGACTACAATGTAGGAGAAAGGAAAAGAAAAGAGTATTCAAGGTGTGTGGAAAATCAGGCATTTTGGGGATTTCTCTGCTGAGAGTCAGGGCTGAACCTGCTCTACTCCCCACATCCCATTCCTCAGAGCCAGACCACCTGAGGCCTTGGGGTATTTCTTGAGAGCAAGGTTCACAAAGTTCCTGCAAGTGTCAGAAGAAGCCCAAGGACATTGCTGCTTCCAGCTGGGCTATCTGCTGCATGGGCAGCTAATGTGGCATCCTTGCCAGGCTAACAAGGGTTCTCACAAGTGCCAAGGAACGGTCAGATTGGCACAAGGCTTCTTTTCCCAGCAGTCCTAAGACCAGTCTCCTGATGAGGTCCTGAGATGTGGCCAGGCAAAGGACCAGACTATGACCCTTACAGCCTTGGCAGGCTCCAAAGCAGGAAAGGGCTTCATGTGATTTCTCTCCTCCATCCTGGGGCGGGTTGTTCTGACACTATGGGGCCCTGTTAGTTTAGGTGGCATTGTGAGCCATTGAAGTGGCCCTGGGGCACAAATGAGCCCTTTCTTCGTGCAGCTTGGGGCTTGCCACTGAGTCAGTGCCCCCTGCCACTGTGGTAGGCCCTCCTTATTGATCATGGTGGTCTAGACTCATGCATCAGGTAGTGAGCCTCTCAGAAGGTCTGGTCTGTTGGGACATACCCGAGAACAGAAGTTTATGTTAACACCATTCCTGCCTGTGGCCTGACTGCAGTGGCTTTTATGACATGTTTCTTCCAGCCCTAGCCTTAGCGGTGCATTTATTGTTTTGTGACAAACTGGGAATAGAAAAAAACTTAAAAATGATCCATCAGCCAGGGGCCAATGGCTCATGCCTTTAATCCTAGCTACTGAAGAGGCTGAGATCCAGATCCAGAAGATTACATTCAGCCAGCTGGTAGAAGTCTTTGAGACTCCATCTCCAAAATAACCAACTAAAAAGCTGGGTTAGAGGCATGGCTCAAATGGTAGAGCATCAGCTGTGAGAGGAAGCAAGCTGAGCAAACTTGAGGCCCTAAATTCAAAATACGGTTCGTGCAAAAATTAAAACAAAACAAAACAATGTGAAGGAAAACAAAAATACCAGGGCTTTGAAAGCAAAAGAGGGATTACTGGGGAATAAAAAGGAGAAGGGAAAAGAGGAAGGGAATGAGAAAGACATAGGAGGCTGAATACATGTATACATGTAAGAAATTCCTTACTGTATGTAATTTAACATATATCAATGAAACTACCAATGCAGAGTTTTCAGTGCAACCATGTGGTTCAAAAACCTAGGAAGATAAAAATTCCCAGCACAAATAAGATCCCTTTGTCTCCACTCAACCCCCCTCTCACTGATTTCAGATGGATTGTTCAGCATTTGTATTCCTATACATAAAACTAAACAGGTAAAAGAAACCTCAACATAGACTTTTTACTGTAACTAATTTTTGAGCTATTTTTTATCTTCTTAAAAAATAAAATTTAAAACATTTATTCAGCAAATGCATACATTTAAAAGCAGCCTCGGAGCCAATTGCCAGTGGCTCACACCTGTAATTCTAGCTACTCAGGAGGCTGAGATCTGAGGATTGCGGTTCTAAACCAGCCCAGGCAGAAGAGTCTGTGAGACTCTTATCTCCAGTAAACTACTCCAAAAAAGCTGGAAATGGAGCTGTGACTCAAGTGATAGAGTGCTATACTTGAGCAAAACAAGCTTAGGGACAGCACCTAGGCCCAGAGTTCAAGCCCCAGGACTGGCAAAACAAAACAAAAACAAAAAAACTGCAGCCCTGTTGGCTCATGCCTGTAATTCTAGCAAGTAAGGAGGCTGAGATCTGAGGGTTATCTTTCAAACTCAGCCTGGGCAGGAATCTTACCTCCAGTTAATGGCCAAAAGAAGTAGAGCTGTGGCTTACATGGTAGAGCACTGACCTTGAACAAAAAAGCTCAAGGATAGCACCTCAGCCCTGAGTTCAAGCCCCAGGACTGGCATGCACGTGTGTACACACACACACACACACACACACACACACACACACACACACTAAATAAATAAATAAATAAATAGGCATCATTTTCCTGTAGGTATAGCTCAAGTAGTAGAGTACCAGCCAAGCAAGCATGAGGCCTTGAGTTCAAACCCCACTACTGTCAAAAATAAATAGATAGGTAGGTAGGTAGGTAGGTAGGCAGATAGATAGATAGATAGATAGATAGATAGATAGATAGATAGATAGATAGATAGATAGATAGATAATAAAATAAAACAGCTTTACTTAAGTTTCTGGTCCTTGTTCATTGCATTCAACTCAATACTCAGTGAGACCTATTATGATATTAAATCAAAAGCTTGTTATAGAAAATTAAATACTTAGAAGCAAAGGAAGGTAAGGAAGAAGAAAGTCCATTATTGTATATCCTCTGGGTAGAGTCATCTAGTATATGTCATGTTCTGTAGGTGAGTACACACAGGCTTATATTTATTTACATAGCCTATCATCAGTTCCTATATCCTTAAAGCACCTGGCTATGATTCCAGGTAATAGGTAAGAGGATCCTGAGCCCAGGCTATACCTAGGCAAAACCAACAAGATCCTACCTGAAAAACAAAGAAAGGACTAGGGGCATGGCTCAAGTGGTAGAGCACCTGTTTAATGAACACAAAGCCCTGAGTTCAGTCCCTAGTACCAGCAAAAAAAAAAAAATTAGTGAAAATGTTTTGCATTTTTTGTTTACTGCATTGTGAGCAGTTCTATTTTCACATCTCTGTAGGACCTGTCATTTGGATGCCATGGGCCATGTGTAGCAAACCAAGCCATTCCTTATTTGAGGTTGTGGGGGGGATGATTTTGGAGGGCATTTAGGGCCTTCCTGGGGTTTTGCAGTTATAGTGGCTCTGAGGTAAATACCAGATTTTTGTTACCTTTGGGATATCTGAACCTATCCCACAATATCCACACACAAGCCCAGAGCATGTACATGTCCCCTGGGAAGTCATTCTCCCAGTTCTGTGAATAGAAGATGGTACCTCAAACCTGAAATCATAAGCTGACATTTGGAAAGTTCATTCTATAAAGCATACTAGTCTTGGGTTCCAGGACAGTGACATTGAGCATCCTGAGTATGTCTTGTGACAGGCACGGAGGAGGCTGGGGTTTCTGAGGGTCTGAAGGGGCTCCTGCTGGGCACTGGCTCCTAGGGTCTTCGGGCTGTGACCATCTGACCCCTGTGACTCTTGCTTCTGTTACAGGTACGCCTGAATTCATGGCTCCTGAGATGTATGAGGAACACTACGATGAGTCAGTTGATGTCTATGCCTTTGGGATGTGCATGCTGGAGATGGCTACCTCAGAGTACCCCTATTCAGAGTGCCAGAACGCTGCCCAGATCTACCGCAAGGTCACCTGTGTAAGTCTACCCAATCCCCTTGTAAATAAAGACACAGTGATGGGTATGGGCTACAGCCTCAGCTGTCTGGGTGGACCTTGAGAAAATTTGACAGCAGCTGTGTGAGGAGAGAAGGGAGTGTGGCCAGAATGGCTAAGTGAAATCTTCTAGCAGGAGTGATGGATGGCTAGGTGCTATGGATGGAGCTTAGCCTCTGAGGCTGACAGAAAACCCAGTGTGTCCAGGAAGCTGAAGCTTAGGAGGCTCTGGCTCCACCAGTCCCCTGCCGGGAGGCTTGGCCCAGGCGGCCTGTCCCAGTTACTCCCCTTGCTTGTTCTAGTCTGCCCCTCAGTTGCTGCTGTCCCCATCTTTATTTTGGAACCACAGTTTGTTTTCCTTTTCACCAAACCATTGCCCCAGCCAAGCGTGTCTTTAAGCGGTTTGGGCAGCCTGAGAGCCTTAATCCCTGTTTTGCTGTCACTGTGATTTTTGAGTTGATCCGATGGCTTCAGCTGTACAAACAGATGGGCCTTGTCCTCCCTCTGTGGTGGCCTCCCTGGTTGGGGGAATAAAAACATAGCCTGTGGAGGTAGAGCAGCCAGGCCAGGACTTTTCTATTTCTATTCCCACTGGATCATATTAGCCCTCATGGCCAGGCCTGGAGGCCCTCAGAGCAATCCTGACAGCAGCCCCAGGCTGCTATGATCCCAGGAGTCCTTCTTGTCTCCATCTCAGGCTAGGATTGTACACAGCCTGGGTAGTTAGTGCTGCTTGACACTTGACTTTGTCTGTGCATTCTTCTCTCACTATCTGTATGGCCAGATGCTACTTCTACACATGTGCATGAGGTCGTGATCCTTTGTGTCCCTGCAGCTTTACCTTGTGCTCATCCCTAGTTCTAAATTATCAGTTACTCCATTACCCTGAGTTGTCCCCTCCTGCCCCGAAAGTCTCTTGGCCTGGCTCTTGGCCAGCAGCAGTGACCACAGACTATGCTTTTGCCTCCTTGGGGAGGGGTGTGGGTAGGAAGTCCAGGTGTGGTTAGAAATGTTGGCTCTGTGGGAAGCTATGAGTCCACCACCATGATGCTGTGGTTCTTCCTCCCAGGTGATGGGGCAGCTGGCTCAGGAGCCCTTGGAGGTTCTACTTAGGGGAGGCTCTGCAGCCAAGCTCTGATCAACACCTTTGCAGAGACTGACTGCTATATTTGAAGTGTCAACCCCAGTATCAAATTCTGCAGCACAAGTGGAGGCTGCACTGTGTGCTATTGCTGGGGTAGTGTTGTGGGGGCAGGGGTGGTGGTGGTTATCAAGGAGATCTGGACTGAGGTGACTGACCTGAGCATGAGGCGAAGTGAGTGCCATGGTGGCTGTTGCAGGCTTTGACAGATACAGGGTCACCCACAGAGGTGTTCTCCAGAAAGAGACTTAAATGATAGGAAACTAGTCTGTTGGATTCATACAGAAGGGAAGATTTTTAAAAAATGAATCCTAACTGGTTTCATGTAACGTGTCCATTTATTCCTAGCTCTGCTTTCTCTTGCCTGGAGCTTGAGTGTGTCACATCTATGGGCAGAGTTTTCATCACAATTGGAAAACTTTCCACCATCATAGCTTCGAGGATTTCATTCTGTCCCTGCCTCCTCATCTGTCCCTCTGGACCACTCGTTTTATGTATGCTGTGTGTGTACTGGCCCTTGCTCTGTCCCATATTCCAAAATGAAGGGAACAGAACCTCAGCAAACATTTCTCTCTGTGCTCTCTGTCTGATAAACCTGATTGCCACATCTTTTCTTCTGCAGTGTCTGATTCGTCTGCAGTTAATCTGCTCTAGTGCAACCTGGAATTTATTTCTAGTTCCACTTGGTTCTTTTTATATATCTACCGTCCTGTTTCTGCTATGTGTATTTTCCTTTAAAGATTCATTTGTACCTACAAGGACTTTATCCTCTTTGTCTGCTCTCCATTTTTGGCTTTTCTGCCAAGTCATGGGCTACACCTTCCTGCCTTGTGGCATATCTAGTCATTTTTGTTTGAATGTTGCACATTATATGCATTTCATCATGTCTGTTTCCTATTACTGGGAATGACTCTGCTTACAGCTCCCTCATGGTTTTTTGCTCAGAGTTGTGGTGGTGGTGATAATGTGCTTGTGATCTTAATACTAAGAATATTCAAGGGGATGGTGTGCACACATCTGGGCTCTTTCCAGAAGTCTCCTTCATGGCCACCTCAGCCTTCATAAGGTCTGAGATCCCTTCTCAACTCAGTCGGACCTCAGGCTCTGTTGGCTTCTGTGCGTCAGACTGGGAACTGCTATGGGCAGCATGCATAGCTGTGGGAGGGAATGCCCCACCAGTGCTTCCTCTGAGTGCACATCCTGTACTTCCTGTTACTAGTGTCTGAACATAGTCATTTGGCATATTTTGTCCCATTTTCCAGCAGTTTCTGCAGGGTAAACTCAGCGCTAGTTCTTGTGCCACAGCTAGAAGAGGTTTCCCTGTACTGGGGTTGGAGAGGATGCCACCTCATTTTCCATTAGGTGACTATTCTCTTCTCAGGGCATCAAGCCAGCCAGCTTCGAGAAAGTGCATGATCCTGAAATCAAGGAGATCATTGGGGAATGCATCTGTAAGAACAAGGAGGAAAGGTGAGTTCCAGTGTGGTGCTAGGATCTGGGTTTTTCTCAAGCTGAAATTATTCCAGCTGGTATATAGAGCCACATTCCTAATGAGGAAGAAGCTCAGAGGCCAAGCAGACCAGCTTGGGCCACAGCAGCACTAGGCTTGGGAGCTGCCCACCAGAGAGTGAAGTCAGAGAACAACTTGCCCAATGCCCCATGCACTTGGGCATTCCCTCTACCCCTCTTGGCTTTCTTTCTAGTTTATCTCCCCAAATTTTATCCATTTCCGTGATCTGTTGGCTGGGACTCCCAGCCTTCCTCAGTCCTGCTCTCTCTTCTAAACTTCATATTGCATGTGCCTAGCCGCCCCACCCATCTCTAAGACAGCATGCATACCTCAGAAGCTGCTCCACAAAGCCATCTCCCCTCTCAGAGCAGAGGTGGACTTCCCAGCTGGATAGCCAGAAAGCTGGAGGTGCCTCGGCAGCCTTTCCTCTCTCAAAATAAACTGTGGTAAGCCCACCATCCCCACGACACTCTTAGCAGCAAATAGAGATAAGCTGCTGATACAGCCGTGTAGAAACTCTTCAGATACTATACCCAGATGAAGCTAGACCTGTAGCAGTCTGGGCTGCATGATTCTGTCAGTACTGGAGAAGGAAGTAGACTTTCCACCTGCCTCCTCCTCCTACAGGTCCTCCCCCGCTTACAAACCTCACTGTTCTGGGGCCCTTGTCATGGCATTGTTGGGGAGGTGGAGTAGTCTGCCTCTTCTGGTTCCACCCAAAGCCAGGGTAAGGATTGAGAGCTCACCAGCACATGGGCAGGAGCTCTAATTGCATAGTGAGCAGCCTGACGCAATGAACCATGTTTTCTTTTTTATAATGAGAGAGGAAAAAATGATGGAAGAAGATAATATTGAGATGATTTTTATTGATCTCCTGGGAATTAAGCAATGTCACTGCTGGTGTTGCTCTTGGAGCAGAGCCTGCCAACCAAGTAGTGAAGTCAGAGACTTTCTTAAACAGCTTGCCCAGCTGTCCTGGGCATTGACCTAATGCTCAGATGCAATGCTATATGCATGTTCTGGGCCATCATGGCACCTTAGGGATGCACATACTTTTCAAGGAGCCTAGGCACGAAGGTTCCTTATCTAAGAGCATCTGCCTGTGAGCCACTCTCCCCCCAGGTATGAGATCAAGGACCTGCTGAGCCATGCCTTCTTTGCTGAGGACACAGGCGTCAGGGTGGAACTCGCAGAGGAGGACCATGGCCGGAAGTCTACCATTGCCCTGCGGCTATGGGTAGAAGACCCCAAGAAGCTGAAGGGAAAGCCCAAGGATAATGGAGCCATAGAGTTCACCTTTGACCTGGAGAAGGAGACGCCTGATGATGTAGCCCAGGAAATGGTAATTTATACATACCCCACACAGCCCTATGTGCCTAGTAAGGGGCTCACATGGGCTGCTGGGAGGTCTGAGATACAGGTTGCAGGGATCACAGTTCCTGAAGATTGGAAAAAGCAGTCCCAAGGTTGTTACTCTAGCAGGGTGGGTGTTGCCCAGGGGAAGCAGTCAGCAGGGATGCTCCACGTTGCAGGTAAGATGATGAGCTAGACATAGAAGTAAGTGAGCCACTGATATCTGGAAGGGAGCCTGAGCAGAAATGGACTATCAGCTCAGTGCAAGAAAGCCAGTGGCTTTACATGTCTTTGCCATGTCATTGCCGTAAAGACGTTTGTCCTTTTAAATTTGTCTTAAGATGAGCTTTTTACTATTGGAACTGCATCTTAAAATAAGCTTCTTACTGTTGGAACTGCATGAGCTCCATGCCCAGGTGCACAGGCTAGTTGGGTTCTTCAATCCTCTAGTTGGGAGAAGTGGACATGTTTCTGGATGGGGTTACAGAAGATGGGAGGAGAGACCACTCTATAGGCCAGATGTTATGCCTACCATGACTTTGTGAGACCCTGCTCAGGCTCTCTGATGCCACAGAAGGGATGTGAGCCATTAGGGCTGGGACTGTGGGACGCTGAACTTTGCATTGGCCCACACTCTGGAGATTCCTCCTCCTCTACGTCTGTGAGCCAGGACATGTGGTATGTGAGGGGTGCATGGGGCAGTGGGTTTAGATTATACATGGAAGTGAGTCAGGAAAGAAGAAGTAGCCTTTCAGCTAGGCTTCCTGCAGCCACCAACCCCAGGGATCTGGAGTGGCATGGTACTGCTCTTGCCATACCATGTGACTGAGGGGTCAGGTGAGTTCAGGTCTTACCTCTCCACAGCTACAGGATAAAGGTGCTCTTGATGCCTCCCTCTACCCAGACTTCTAAAGGATAGAGACATGACACAAAGCCTCAACACCCAGGGTCTCCAAGGGTGCTCATGCCACAACCAGAACTCTGGCATTAGCACTTGTGTTGGTTGTGATTGCACAAAGAGGGTAAGGGCGGGCATATACCAACATTGGTTGAGAACCCAGACTGAACCCCAGAGGTGTGAAGTGGCCGCCTGTATCCCCAGACTGGCCCACTACAGCATGGCTGCCCTCTAGTCACATTTCTGGTTTGACACAGACTCTTCTCCTGTGAGTAGATTTTATGGGATCCTTAAGCTTTTTGCTTCCTGGAGGACCTTCTGTGGCTGCCATGGTGACCGGGTGATGTGCTCAGAGATGTTTACAAAGAGGTACTGTGCTACAAAAGCCAAGAGGTACTGTGCTACATTCAGATAGTCATCGACACAAATCACTTGTGCCTTCAATAGTACCATATATACACTATGAGAGCTGAGGCTTGGTACTAACCAAAGAGTAGGGTCTGTGATAGAAAGTCCTGGTTTGAATGTAGCAGAATCACCTCAGGAAGAACAGCTGAAATGTAGCTCTCACATTCTTTCTATAAATGTAGTCATGTCTGCTCTGTACTGGGCAGGGCAGGGTGTGAGGGATTTGGGAACTAAGCCCCAAGGTCAGGAGGCCACAGGGTGGCTGAGTCATAACAACAGCATGTCAAGGTTCATCTTGAGTGATTCCATTGTAGGCTATGCATCCAGAAAGGTGCCTAGGATCCCAAATAAGCAGATTCTGAATGCCTGGACTTTGGTCTCTCAGATGTGCTCTGGGTCTTCTTTCTGGGCTTAGCTCCATCCACAGTGGATGCCTCCCGCCTCCCAAGACTTCACCTCATTCTTGCTTCTCACCAAGGTAGAGAGTGGCATGGCCATCCACAAGGCCTATGACATGCCCATCACCTCAGCTGGTCCCTGACACTTGGCTGAACTCACCAGCTTTGTCCCTGGGTCAGTTCCTTCTCCTTCCATTCTCCCCTCCCTTTACCCTCCCCTCCATTATTTCTTACTACATTCTTGCCATCATAAGACATGTCATCCATGAAATAGAGCATCCATGCAGAAGGGACATGACTTGTGTCCGGTTATAAAATAATAATAAAACAATGTGTGTCCCCTACTCTGCTAAAGAAATAGAACAGGCCCAGCTGTCTGTGACTGGCTGAAAGCCAGGGAGGCTCCATTTGTTAATAGCTTCACATGGGCCTGCCTCTGCCCTTCCTGAACCTCAGGCTGAGTCCTGGGCCCTGGGCCCCAGGAAACCTATCTAGGTTCCAGCCATGCGTGCTTTTATCCTTCGTGCCCATGAGAGACTCCAGGCTGTCACTCTTTGAAATGCTGTCTCCAGTCCTTCCGTGAGCCTAAGTTGCAAGGGCCCTAGCTGTTGAGTATCACATTTTGAGTCTTGGAAGATCCTGGAGACTGAGGCGTCTCTTACAACAGAGATGTCCAAGTATGAGGTCTGTTGGAGATGCCTCCTGGAAACACCTAGAGGGATATAAGGAAGATCAGGATAAGGGTTGTATATAATGAGTCAACTTGGCCAGAGCAGGGCTGAGGGAAGGGAAGGTTCTTTGGTGTCCTAGGCTGCTCTTGATCTGAAGTGACCTCTAGGCCAGTCAGATCTTGAGTCCAGGGCAGTGAGGGGCAGGAAAGGCTTTCTCTGGCCTGTCCTTCCGTCAGCTTTCAGGGCTCCACATAAAGGAATTAGGGCACAGATTATGGCTACATTCTACCCTATTTGGAAAAAATAAGAGGTCTTAGTGAGGAAGATGGCAGAGATTATGAAGACAGATAGGAAGAGATGGTGGTATAAAAAAGAAAAACTGCTTTCTCTGACAACTTCTAGTCAGACAACCTATGCGTGGGCAGAGGCCTGAGGATGCCAGTCTTGCTGTGACCAGAGGTTACCTGGGGCTTTACAGCCTTATGATCTGGGGTTTTAGAGCCTTGGCTACATGCTCTTGCTGCGTTTGCATGTCTGCCCACAGGTAGCAGGGAATGGGTGAAACCTGGCTAGGGGGTTGCCCTTGCCAGCCCACAACTGGTATCAGTCAGACCTGTCCTGCCTCAGCCTTTGCACAAAGGCCCCTGTGGTTGGAGTCTGGCGTCCCTGGAACAAGTCTACCTCCAACTCTAAGGAAACATCCAGAAGAGAACATTAGGCCTGATTCTCTTCTCTGGGAGAACGGATCATCCAGTTCCTGAGGTTCTTCCTAGCCAGGATGAAGGCTGGGCTTTGAGGGTGGGTGGATCTCACCAAGGATGTTGTGTCCACCTCTGGATCCTCATTTCTTACCCACATGCCTGCCCTGCTCCTTTGTCTGCCTGAGTCAGCAATTCTTTGACCTGGACATTTCCATGTGGAGTTTTATCCCAACAAGTAGAAGTATCTTTCCAAGTAAATGCCAGTGGCTCACACCTATAATTCTGGCTAGTCAGGAGGCTGAGATCTGAAGATCACAGTTTGAAGCTAGCTTAGGCAGAAAAGTCTGTGAAAGATTCCATCTCCCAAAACAAAAAAAAAAAAAAAAAAAACCAACAGTAACAAAAAATCTGGGCTAGAGGCATAGTAGAACACCAGCCAAACAAGAAAGCTGAGCAAGAGTAAAGCCGTGGTTCAAACCCCCATACTAGAGGGGAAAAAGAGACATTTTTTCTGCACAATCACACACAATGGTCAACATCAAAAATATAACCATGCCAAGCGCCAGTGGTTCATGCCTGTAATCCTAATTACTTAGGAGGTTGAGATCTGAGGTTCTTGGTTTGAAACCAGCCTTGGCAGGAAAGTCCATGAAACTCTTATCTGCAATTAGACACCAAAAGCCAGAATTGGAGATGTGGCTTAAGTGGTAGAGTACTAGCCTTGAGGGAAAAAGCAAATAGATAGTGCCCAAATTCTAAATTCAAGCTCTAGGACCAGCACACACACAAAGAAAGTGTTACACATGGCCACCACCCCATCTTGAAGCTGTTTACGTCCCCAGTGTCCCTGCAACACCTCCATGGCAAGAACATCAGGCCAGGGTCACACGGCCCCTTGACCCTTCAGTCCTTGACCCCTGTAGTCTGGCCCTGGGGAAGTACTCAGGCTTTTCTCTGAAGTAGATCATAATGAATCAGGCGATGCATCTGTGGGAATCTCACAGCAGGGCTATGTTCTGCCTAGGGGCACATGGTATTGTCTGTCCCATTTTGCAAGATGTTTGTTCTGAGAGACATCTCCATGTGGGTCACTCTCACCTTTGTACCTGATGGATGTATCTGGGAAGGTGCTTTGAAACTGTAATTATCCATTGTTTACCAAACTTCCTATTCATTTATTTCTCTTATCTCTCTATGCATAGTGTAGTATTTCTGCTTTAGTCAGTAGTTGCCCTCTATGCATGAACTGTCTATTGCTTTGTAACCCATCACCTCTACCTGTATGTTTGGAATGCTCTGGCCAGTATAGTCCCCAGGTCAGGGATCAGGGATGGCTTAAGGTTCCTCATGAGGTAAAGTGAAGTGTGGGCCAGGGCTTTGGGCTCAGACCTGACTGACACAAGGCCCCAGTTTCCTGATGAGTAATCTACAGAGAGAAGCTCATAATGTGGATTCTCCTGGAGCAATAATGCCTGAGAGAAAAGAAAGGAGGGAAAGAGAGAGAGAAAGAAGAACAGAGCAGGGAGGAGACCATACCTAATGTTGACAGGGACATCCTTCTGCTTCCACAGATAATTTGCACCCTGATACGCAAAATGCATGTTAGAGATTTAGGAAATGTCCTTCCAAACCATCATCATATTGCTGCTTATTTTGATGCCAGATGTCCTAGATTTGCCAGCTGATGGCCCTAGCACTGGCTCCATGTCACTTAGCACGTCCTACTCATTCCCTGAGCATATCAGTTCCTGAGTTTGGCTTATCCTCCTTCTTTTCTTTCCTGGCCTGGAGTCACTGATCTTTGCAATGGCTATGGTTTCCTATTATAGCACATGGGCTGTGAATTCTTGTCGCTCCTGGGCCCTCAGGGTAAAGTTCACAAGGACTCACCTATCTGTGTACGTGTGCACATACATACACACTCACACACACACACACACACACACACACAAATAAATGCTATCTGTAAGCATGTGACTTTATGTCATGAAGTTCCCACCATCACCACAGGTCTCTGATCTAGACTCTTCCCTTCCCTGTGAGTGAAGCTTGGCTACTCCATTCCATTCCTCATGTATGTTATTGTCTGATCAGTCCTGATGGGCACTGCTATTTAGCTGTTCTGGGTGCATCTCCTGACTCCTGTAACAGGAGGCTCCCTGAATGGTGCTGCCCCACTCTCTCAGAAAGCCCATACAACATCTTCAGGACTGAGGTCCTCAGGAAGGGAAGGGAAAACCAGGTAGATTTGACATCTTAGTTCTGATGAGTTTTCATGTGTTGTGGTCATCAGTTGTGGTCCAGACAGAGCAGCTTCTTCCACAGGCCTCTTTGTTTTTAAAAAGTGGGGTTCAGCCATAAATATTTAGCAAGCTCACAGGGCTTCCCAGAGGTCTTTGACAGTGTTCGTTGACAATGTTCCCTGTGGTGATTGGAGCTTCAGAGGGACTGGAAGTGTGGTTCAGTGTTAGACTGCATGCCTAGAAATTATGAGGCCCTGAGATCAAACCTTAATTCCACACATGTACACACACACACACACACACACACACACACACACACACACACACACACACAAAACACAAATGAGGTTTAGGGTTTTGCTGGGCACCAGTGTGTACCGCACTGCTCTCTTGACAGAGTTTAGACCTTTCTCCCTTTAGAATGAGCATCAGGGCCTGTAGGGACAGCAGCTGATATTCTAGAAGGCCGACCTGAGGATTTCAATAGAAGCTAGGGGGTAAAAGGTAGGAGGAAAGTGGTTGATTACTCCTTGGTAACAAGGGCAACACTTTAGGGGCACTGAATGGACTCTCAAGGAAAGGGCCCCATAAGCAGGAACTCACAGGCAGGCACCCATGGTATGGATAGCACAGTTAATCCCAGGCAATGTGGTATATAGGCAGGCCCCTCAGACCCTGAGACACTGATAAGACCATCTTTGCAGATCGAGTCTGGATTCTTCCATGAGAGTGATGTGAAGATCGTGGCCAAGTCCATCCGTGACCGAGTAGCATTGATACAGTGGCGGCGTGAGAGGATTTGGCCTGCACTGCAATCCCAGGAGCCAAAGGACTCTGGCAGCCCCGACAAGGCCAGGGGCCCACCAGCACCCCTGCAGGTCCAGGTGACATACCATTCACAGACCGGACAGCCTGGGCAGCCGGAGCCTGAGGAGCCTGAAGCTGACCAGCACCTCCTCCCCCCGACGCTACCAGCCAGCGCCACTTCCCTGGCTTGTGAGTACATAGAATGTAGCACTAGGACTAGTTGGGTCCCCTCTCTGCCACCCAATGCAATCAGCTATGGGGCAAAGAAAAATGTCCTCACCCTTCTTTAGAATGCTTTGCGGGGGAAGCAGGTCAGCTCAGTGAAGCCTGTGTGAGCTTTTAGCGGTCCTCCTGTAGCTGGATTATGGCTTTCAGCTGTAAGTGGTCCCCAGGAACTCTGTCTGGGTTCCCATTCCCTGTGCCTGGCTTTCTTCCTGTAGCACCGTTGGTGCCAGGGCACATCATGATCGTTGGAAGAGATCATGTCCTGGGGTGTTTGGACCAGTAGATGGTCCTAAGTACTAGGACACATAGATCCTGATTCCTTGGCTGGTTGGAGCCTGTTCCCACAGCCTATCTTTCATAGTGTGCATGGTAGGCTGAGTGTTGTTCCAGAGAAGGGATTATAACTTTTTTGTGTCTCCCACAACAACCTGTGACCAGAAAGGATTTAAGGCTCTTGGTATCTGGCTTCTCAGATCGGATGTGATTAAGTATGCTCTGAGCTTGTGAGGTTGACTCAGCCAGGTCCATTCTGGCTCCCCATTGTGAAGGCAGGTTCTTTTTCCTATCTCAGGGGAAGAATCCTGGGTCTGATGGAGGGAGTGGGGAATTTGAGGCCCACTCCTTGGAGGAGACATCTGTGCCATGGACAAAGAATGCTGAGGACTTGGCTTGGAGTATTTGCCACAGGATTTTCCATCCCTGATAGCTTCCTTCTAGTGGAAAGCCTGGAAGACCTACTGTACATTTTCAAGGGCATGTAACCAATGCACTGGGAGTTGTTTTGAAGCAGGCTTTATCTAAGACCTAAGAGGATTTGGTGTCTTCCACCTGGTAGGCAGAAAAGTGCCCTGCATCTGGTCTCAATGTCTAACACTTCAGCAATGAGCAGAGGATGGGGGATGTCACATGGGTCTTATCCATTCCTATTGGAGTAGACTTTAGAGTCCAGTGACCTGGGCAGGTCACTATTTCAGGTTCTTCATGTGGAAAGATTCAAACTGTTAATTCTATATGAATGACTTTCATTTACATTAAAATAACTTAAGCTAGGTAAATTGGCAAGCAACCCTCAGCTAAGAGTGTTGATGCACTGCCCGCTTCACTCCAGGCAGCTTGGGCTTGCTTTGGAGAATGTTGCTATATCATTGCTCTGTTTTCTGACATCTGAAAAATTAATAATAGCACAATTTTTTTGGTAAGACAACATTTTCCATAACAGACAGACAACTACACACTTTAGAATAACAATAGTTTAAGCAATTTCAATGATGGGAGTTTGGCACCATGAAATATGTTCTGTTGGTGCTCAGATGTAGGTCAGGTATGATTCACTATGAGAAAAATCCCATGAAGTTCAATCAGTTCAAACAAACACACTTCCCGTCTGACACAATACCCGTGCGTCATGTATAGAGGCTGGGGTCAGCCTTCTCCAAGTGCTTTTACTCAATTATTGTAATTTCTTTAAAATAGATAATATAGTCATTCAGTACAGAAATCTAAGTCTAGCCAGCCATACCTGTAATCCTATCTACTCAGGAGGCTGAGATCTGAGGATTGTAATTCAAAGCCAGCCTGGGCCGGAAAGTCCATGAGACTCTTAATCTCCAATTAACCAGCAGAAACCCAGAAATGGAGCTGCTGGAACACTAGCCTTGGACAAAAAAATCTCAGGGACAGGGCCCAGACTGAGTTCAAGTCCTACCACCAGGAAAAAAAAATCAAAAAGTACAAGCGTGCATAGCGTGTCACTTAACTGTTCTTTCAGAGGCCAATTAAGGCAATTGTTGAGATCCTTTAACTGTCCTTTCGGAGATAATAGACATGTAATCTTTCACATGTGGACATACATACATGCATGTAAGATAAACATATACATAGCTATATACATGCAAACCATATGCATGTACACGGACATATGTGCCCTACACACACACACACACACACACACACACACACACACACACACACACACACCAATATGTGCATACACACATGGACAAAACCACTCCCTGCACATCTATGTGGCCATGGATGTGCCTCCAATGTGCATGCATGGGAACACACACATGTTTGTGCATTTATCAGCACACTCTTGCATGCATGTCTGGGTAGACACATATACACATATATTCTTTCATATTCTCTATTCTGCAGTGGATAGCACCCCTCACATGGCCTTCTACACTTGGTGCTGGCTTCTACTGCCTATGTTCTCCCATCCTGGGTATTTTGCAATGACTGGCTATGCTGTGCCTGCTGGTGAGCTGTGGAGGCTGCCAGATACTCACATTATCTGAGTAGAACCTGCTCATACTCTTTTTTTGTCATTTATTTTTTGGTACTGGGGATCAAACTCAGGACATTGCACTTGCTAGGCAAGTGTTTTGCCAGTAAACTACATCCCAGCCCCAGACAGACATTCTTATATTGAAAGATGCAACACTGGCTCACTTTTCATGCTTCTCCTGTGTGTCTTTCTGTTAGCAGTCCTGACCAAACTCAGTGAATGTCTTTCACTGGCACAGTACCTGAGCAACTGAGGACTACAACAACACAGCTTGCCAATGGGTCCTAAAATGACTTCTAAAATCAATTTTAATTGTACAAGTAATAAGCACAATTACTTCCAACCTATAAAATCTGCACCCAATGTCTAAGAGTTGTTCCACTTGAAGCTTGTCAGACTGTATGCATTCTTCCCCCTGCTCCTCCTCCCTTCCTATTTGTCTAGGTAGAAATGACCACGTTAATGACTAGTTGGCGCATTAAAAATCACAGCCGCTTGTCTAATCAGTTTTGCTCAATTAAACCTCAGCATTCCTTATGCCTTCCTAGGTTCAAATAAGTTCTGATTAATCAGTCCCTGGGAAAATTGTTTTAATGCAAAGCCAACAAGATTTCCCTTTTACTTTGTTTAAATTATCAATGGACATAATACAATACTTTGAAATGTAGCCCCTTATAAAAATAACTTGGTTTTCATAGGTGGCAAATCCCAATGCCCGTGGCTTTTGGAATCTGGAGGCAGTAAACCAAAAAGTACCATTTCTGACAGGTGTCCAAGTTTTACTCCTTACTGACGAGATCACACAGGCAGGCTGACTTCACAGGCATTCTTGGTGAGACAAGCCTGTGGGTGGTAGGAAGCAGTTCCTGCCTGCAAATGTACAGACAGGTCTGTACTGAGTTCTAGGTTGCTGAGGCTATGCTACCCTCATCTGTGCGAGGCTAGCCTCTGGGAAGCCTGTCTGGGGTAGGGACTAGATGCACAGGGGAAACAGCCTCTCTCTTAAGGAGGCCAGGGGGTGGTGATTCTGTCCTCCCAGTACAGGCCTTTGCCACATGTGTGAAGGTGCTCTGAGTCCAGAGACTCACCCCTTTATCAAACAGGGTGATAATTGTTTCTTCCACAGGTGAAACATTAGCTTTATTTCCCTTTTTTTTCCTTTTGTATATGAGCCAGGACTGGGGCTGTAACCCAGTGCCTCAAGCTCTCACTTGGCTTTTTTGCTCAAGGCTGCTTTCTACCACTTGAACCACAGCTCCACTTCTGGCTTTTTGCTGGTAATTGGAGAATGGCTTCTAATTGAGAACTTCAGATTTCACTTTCTCGAGTAGCTAGGATTACAGATGTGAGCCATTAGCTCTGACTGCCTTAAAAAAAAAAAGCCAACCAAAAAACTACTATAATATTTCCACAGCCTCCTAAGCTCTCTTGCACCTTTAAGAACTAGAATGCCTGCTTAGTGTCAGCATTACAGGTTCTGCCCCTGAGCACCGGGGTGGGCAGGGAAGGGTGGTGTCTACTTCATGGGAGGGTTGGTGAGACATGCCCACTCTGGCATCTGTACAGCTCTGACATCAGTCTGTGACAGAGTAGGGGCAAAGATGTGGTTCTTTCATACTGCTCTGTAGCAGGTAGTAGTTTAAACAACATGCAGGTATTATTCATGTAACCTGGAGAAACAACCTCATTCTTGTTCTGCAGAAGAGAATATAGGAACAAGCCATTTACCTATGTGCAATGCTGTGTGTAGGGGTGGCATTAGATGTCCACACTCACTAAGTCATGACTTTGTCCTTCCCAGCTGACAGTACCTTTGACAGCGGCCAGGGCTCCACGGTGTACTCAGACTCGCAGAGCAGCCAGCAGAGCATGGTCCTGGGCTCCCTCGTGGATACTGCTCCAGGCCCAGCCCCTTGCGTGTGTAGCCCCCCTGTGAGTGAGGGACCTGGCCTGACACACAGCCTACCCTCACTGGGGGCCTTCCAGCAACCCGCCGCCACGGTGAGTTTGAGAGCTACCCCTGGCCCTGTCCTCTCAGCTTCCTTGTCTGAGGGCCCTGGGGGACTCAGTCTATGAGGGCCATCCAGCCTGTGGAGTGTAATCAGGTTTAAAATAGACCTGTAGTCAGTTCTCCATCATACTTCCCCGTGGAGATCCACAGAACCAGGACTTTGCTGGAAGCTAAGTGCTACACTTCTCATCTACCAGACAAGAAGTACAAGTGGGTCAGGTTACTACAGTGGCTCATACCTGGAATCCTAACTACTCAGGAGGCTGAGATCTGAGGATCATGCAGACAGGAAAGTCCTTGAGGCTCTTATCTCCAATTAATCACAGAAAGCTAGAGGTGGAGCTGTGGCTCAAGTGGTAGAGTGCTAGCCTTGAGCAAAAGATGCTCAGGGACGTGCCTAGACCCAGAGTTCAAGCACCAGGATTGGGGGAGGGGGGTACCCATCAAGAGATGGACCTCAGGAGCACCCAGGGTTTGGGGAGCTGTGATAGAACCAACCCAGCCTCATCTCAGGACAGGAGATGGTGATGACTGTCCAAGTACACATGTGCATAGAGCCTGCCCAACCAGGCCTGGGCTTGAGGTATAGTTTCATACCATCTAAGAGATAATAGAAATGCATTTTTGTAATAATGAAGCACTAGACTCAACCTCACCATTCAGCCTCAAGAGGGGATGTAGAAGAATGCCTAGCTCTTCTTCCCAACATAGCGATAGCCATTGAAAGACTGTGCTGAAAAACTAGGTCAAAGCATGGGGCGGGGGGGGGGGGGGGGGGGGGGGAGGGAGGGGAGTAGGGCATCTCCAATGAGGGTTTTGCAGAAGGTAGAAGTGAACCCCACACTGTGAGGATGCTTGTGAAGTGATGTGTAGGATCCAAGAAGGTAGAAGAGGGGTCACTCTGGGTACCTGGTGTTTGATTTTTGCTCTATTGTTGATTTTTTTCCCTTAAAAAATATTGAAGAAGTGAAGCAATTGCTCACTTTACAGTCCCACGTTCCTAGCTGCAGAGAATTTGCCTGTGACCTGGGTGGTGGAGCTGAGTCCTCAGAGACTGATTTAGACCCCCTGTCTCAGCTCTGTCTTCAAAAAATTCCTCCCCTGGGAGCTGTTGTGTTGGTTGTCACTTATACTTTCTGAGGTAGCATCTTCTTGATACTGGGTGAGTTTTATGCTGTAGTCTCTGTGCCCTCACATGGCCTCTTTCTTCCACCTTGGTCTACATAGGGCTGGGTATTTGAAAGGACCTGAAGAAGTCTCTGGAAAAGCAATTAAAGCTATTGGATGTATCTACCTTTGCTGTCCAGAGCCCCAGGACATTTACAATTTTGTTTCTTTTACTTAGTAAAGTGAAATATAATTTTAAATGTCTGAAAGAGCTCATTTAGGAAAGGCAACATGCTGGTACAGAGGGTCGTTATTGTAAGGATTATCCAAGCAAGGGCTAAGCTGGAATATTTTGCCAGATCTTTTACCTTCCAATCCCGATTAGAGCTCCTCATGGCACTAGCTTCCTGGGTCTTCCCTGGTCTGGATTTGGCTTATAAACCTTTGTTAATACACCTGATTTATCACCTATCTATAACTCAAGGTAAGAAGGTCAGAGGTGAGAAGGGCTAGAGCTCTTTCTCCTTTCTCCCTGCATATTAATATAAAGATTTTGGATACCTTGTGGGGGTCTAGAAGGACCTCCAGGTGTGTTGAGGGCTTTCTCTGCCCTCCTGGCCTTTGCTGGGGGAGAAGGAGGAAGAAAAGGAGAACCACCAGAAGTGAAAGGCCATTCATTTATCTAAGGCCACCTGAACTCATAGTGGCCAGCAGACAAATACTCTGGCCGGGTTGGGGGCAGCTCATCTGCTTTGTGGCTTCAAGTACAACCAGGCTTTAGATTTGATCCCAACTCATGCCTGATCTTTCTACCTCACTGCCTCTGTCTCAAAAAAGGATTGGCTGTGAAAGGTGAAAGGAGGGAGAGTGGTTTTGTTCTTGTGCCATCCAGACGACCTGAGAGAACCTTCCCTGTGAATTGTGCGCCCTGGTCCAAAGCCGCGGACTTGTCTTCAGTTGTGTTTCCTGTTAGCCCCACTCCCTTCTCACATTCCAGAGAAGTATTTCCTCCAGAAATAATTGCAGTCTGTGTCACTGCGCAGTAAGGGGACCCTTACAAAACAAAAAATCATGGACATAATTGCACCCCAGAATTAACAGACTTTGAGCTAAGTGTGGGTGGCTCACACCTGTAATTTTAGCTCCTCAGGAAGCTGAGATTCAAGGAGTGGGGTTTGAAGGCAACTGGGGCAGTTTTCCAAGTAGCACCAAAAAGCCAGAAGTGGAGCTGTGGCTCAAGTAGTAGAATGCCAATCTTTTTTTTTTTTTTTTTCCAGTTGTGGGGCTTGAACTCAGGGCATGGTGCTGTCCCTGAGCCCTTCTGCTGAAAGCTAGCACTCTACCACTTTGAGCCACAGCATCACTTCCAGTTTTTGAATGGTTAACTAGAGATAAGAGTCTCACAGGAACGTTTCTGCCTGGGCTGTCTTCGAACCATGATGCTCAGATCTCAGCCTCCTGAGTAGCTAGAATTACAGGCATGAGCCTGTAATTCACCCTGCTTAGAATGCAAGTCTTGAGCAAGAAAATTAAGGGACAGTACTTAAGCCTAAGGTCAAGACCCAGTACTGACATAAAAATAAAATCAACAAAATAGCTACAGTTCCTTTAGCATCTAGGCACTCAAACTCCCTTTTTTGCTGCCCCATTTAGGCAGCCTCTGGTGATGCAGGCAAATGTCCTATCTGTGGCCCCATTTTTCTTTCCCAGTGGTGGAGTCTCAGAGGACATGACTTGCTGAAGGCTTCCCTGTGCCAATTTTGCTCCCCACTCCTGTGTGTCCTGCTGCTTCTCCAGAGCACCGTTTCCATTTTTCCATATTCTGTGAAGTACCCATATGAATTCATCTACATTAGTCATTAGTATGAGTCATATCGTCGATAGCCCAGGCTGTGTCCTAAGGAGCTCTTCTCCATGGTTCTGTAGAAACTTTGTGGTGATGGTTTCTCACCGTTGTGTAATAACTCCATGGGTTTTATGTTCTAGAACATTCTTTGGCTAGCTCTGACTGTCCTTGGCTTTTGAGCATTGTTAATGACACAACAGGACCACCACACTTGGCTTCTGCTGAGTCACCTTCCTGGAAACAGGGCTCCTAATGGGGAGTGGGTATAGGGATGACAGGAGCTGAGGACAGCTGCTGAACGCGGTCCTGCCGTATCCACAGCCTGGCCTGTCTGTGGGCTCCGTCCCACCCCCTGTCCGCCCTCCACTTCTCCAGCAGCATTTCCCAGAGCCTACGTTGAGCTTTGCCCCCGTGCTGCCACCACCCGGCGCCTCTGTGCCCACAGGGCCATGCCAGACAGCACCTCCTGCCCAGCAGGTAAGTGTGACAGCTCCTTAAGGCCCTTTACATTGTCTCTCACTTCAGTTCAGCCATCCCTGTGGCCAAGGTCTGTGAGCACCTCTGCAGGCTTAGCTTGTGCTCCCTGGAGTTCCTGGGGTCTCTGGGTGAGGGGTAGGGGTAGTCCACAGCTGTAACCAGGAGCTTATGTGTAGAAAGCTCTGCTTACCTGGGATATGTATGCGAGCTCTGCCATATCCCTGGCTTCAGACTGCCAGGAGCCTGGTGATCTGTGTGAGTTTGTGTGAATGAGGTAGTGTCAGTCTGTGTTTCTGTGTGCAGATGTGAGTGCTGTGTCTATAAGTGTACAGTTGTGCAGATGTGCATGTGTAGACATGAAAGTATGTGTGTGAGCCTGGGAGCATGCACGTGTGAGGGTGAATGTAGGTTCTGTCATGTCTGAGCGCAACACCCTGCCTCGGCAGAGATCTAAGGCCCACTTCTCTTTCCAGCTGCCTCCCATGGCCCAGCCTCCAACCTTGCCACAGGTTCTGGCTCCACAGCCCATGGGCACCATCCAGCCGGTACCCCCCCATCTGCCTCCGTACCTGGCTTCAACCTCCCAGGTGGTGGCCCCTGCTCAGCTGAAGCCCCTCCAGATGCCACAGCCACCACTGCAACCACTGGCTCAAGTCCCTCCTCAGGTATCTCTGGCCTATAGCCTGTCTAACCTGGAGGAGGTACCAGGGCATAGGCAGGTCTGCCTGTGACCTGGAAGTACTGGACTGGGGAGATAGGCCTAGCAGCATGGTACAAACCCAGGTGTTGCCTGGTGACAACCATGGCAGCTCAAAGAATGTGGAGGCCAAGGATAGCCTCCCTCATCTGGATTGCCCTCCAGCCTCACCTTCTCACCCTGACAGGCCTTTCTCCCAGGCTGCAAGGCCTCTAGGCATGAATGGCAGATATGAGAAATTCCTTAGAAAAGGAGGGAGGGAGGGAGCAGCTCTCAACTCTAATGTCCAGAATGGGGCCAGACACAAGAATGGGGCAAGTCACCATGTGGCAACTGAGTGGGGCACAGAGAACGGGTGGGCTTGTTTCAGATGACTGTTCATCCTATGAAGCTATGTCAGACCAGGCCACGGTGGCTCCATGGAGTTCTAGTAGTCAGCTGAGTATCAGTGTTTATTATAGGAAAGGCTCGCTTGAGTGTCTTCTGATATCTTTATGTGGGGATGTGGTCTATAAGTTGGGCATCATTGCTCAGCCCATGGTACCCATGATAGACTTTGGTTGATGAGGATGGATTGTGATAGAAACAGGTCTCATTCTACAGGAGTTTCCTGTGGGATAAGAGGGTGTTCCTGTATTAAAGTCCACCTGGAAGATTCTTTCATGTCATCAGTTGCTTGCTGAGCATGCCATGTCTTTGTGACGCCACTTTGGGTCAGCTCAGTAATCTCATTAAGTCATCATCTGGTTTGCTGGTTGTGATGTTTAGCTGCTTTTCAAGTGGATGGCAGCAGGTTTGTGCTTTTATTTTGCTGCCTTTTAATTGCACGAAGGTTTACATGATGTGCTATTCATGAGCATGCATGGGAAAGCAGTAGTTTAGAGATATCCCTAAATGTGAGTGATAAATGCATAGGTCAGAGACAGCTATTTTCCAGGCCTTGCTCTCTGGAAAGCTGCAGATGAAAGGTACTCCTGCTGTTGAGGCTGCATGCCATGGGAGTGTCAGCTCAGCCAGCAAAGGGTCTCCACTGAGACCCCTCCAAGGACTTAGGTTTCAGGTAGAATTTATACACGTTTTAAGCTTCAGGCTGGTCAGATTTCAGTGCTTGAGTTTCATAGTTTTGACATGCCTACTCTGAAGATGCCAGACTATCTATAGAGCCCAATGGTTGTTCTGACTTCTGTCTGAGCAACGCCTGACTTCCACAGGGTCACCCATGCAGTCTGTTAGGCTGTGAACACAGGGAGTCCACTCTGTGTTACTGTCAGTGGGGCTGTCCAGCAGTTCATATCCAGACTGTCAGATTGCTTTTTTGTATCAGGGTCTGGAAGGCAGAGCCATGGTCACCTCATCTCACTGTTCTCCCTGACTGTTCAGGTACCCTGAGCTCTATGAGGGTTACAACTAACGTGCTGCTGTGTCTATTTCAGATGCCTCCAATGCCTGTGGTTCCCCCCATTACCCCTCTGGCGGGAATTGATGGCCTCCCTCAGGCCCTCACTGACCTGCCGCCTGCAAATGTGGCTCCTGTGCCACCACCTCAGTATTTCTCTCCCGCTGTGATCTTGCCAAGCCTCGCCACTTCCCTGCCCGCATCCCCGGCCTTGCCTCTACAGGCAGTCAAACTGCCCCATCCCCCTGGAGCGCCCCTGGCCGTGCCCTGCCAGACCATCGTGCCAAATGCACCAGCCACCATCCCTCTACTGGCTGTGGCCCCACAGGGTGTGGCTGCCCTGTCCATCCACCCTGCAGTGGCCCAGCTCCCAGCCCAGCTCCCGGCCCAGCTCCCGGCCCAGCTCCCGACCCAGCTTCCGACCCAGTTGCCAGCCCAGCCAGTGTATCCAGCAGCCTTCCCACAGATGGCACCTGGAGACATCCCACCTTCCCCCCACCACACGGTGCAGAGCTTACGGGCCACCCCTCCACAGACGGTGCCGCCTGTGCCTCCTCAGCCCCTCCAGCCTGGTGTCGCCCATCTGCCTGAGCAGGCTGCTCCGGCTGTCACCTCAGGGAGCCAGGTAATCCACCTGCAGGGCCTGGGTCTGCCTCCTGGCACCTAAAAACCCTCTGGACCAGGTTCAAAGGACATTTAGGCTGCTTCCTTCCTTCATTGGGCCTTGGCTCCTACTAACCACATGGACAGAGGGGCAGTTTGGAGCTGGTAAGTAGATAGCTCTTCCCTCTGGTTGTCCTCTCTTTGAAGAGATTGGTCAGGAGCAAGGCTAAAACCAGGATGGGACAGTTCTGCTGTGTGAACATCAAAATGACTAATGAGTTCTGTTATCTTACTATGCCTGGAGGCCAGCAGCTGCCCTTTGTATGGCTAGGGGTTCCCTTGCCCTAGCCCATGCTGGTCCTGGCAAGTGACCCATCACCTGTGTAGGCCCCTTTATGGGTGCTGAGCTTCCGTGTGTCTTAGGTCAGCCTCTCCCAGAGCACCTTGTGAGAGTGAGGCAGGGTGGACATCCCCATCATAACAGAGAGGAAGTAAGCCAGAAAGAGCTGAGGGGTCTGGGCACTGAGGGACTTCCAACTGGAAGGTGATTATGGTGTGACCAGGGCATTGTCCTGAGAGCAGGTAGGGACCCTATACATTGTTCCACATTGGTATGAAGGAATGCTGTGGCCCATAATGACACATGCTACAGGTGGGATCCCTGTTGTGTGGCTTTCTGCATTAACTCAGCTTCCAGGCTGTTCTGTTCAAACTCAAGTGGACAAAAGGAAGACTGACTTGGGTTCCTTCCAGATAGACACTCCCTACTTGGGAACCCCCCCTCACCTAAATTTCCTCTCTGTCTGGCAGCATCATTTTCCTCACCTACTATGAGAGGTCCAACCTGGGCATCTTCCTTCCCATCTATCCTTCCCCTGGCCCAAGCCCTGACAGTTCTGTGGTTCAGGCACATCCCCTACCTTTTGAGCCTCAGGGTCCTCTAATTCAGGACCAACTTTGACTTTGTTGTGAAGATTTATCCCAGATAAAGGGGCTGAAGGTAGAGCCAGGTGCTGAGCAGGAATGCTGGATCCCCAGCACACATGCAAGGCCATCTTATTTCTGGAGAGATTGATGCTTGGAGAAAGAGGGCCAGTGTTTACAGGCTATCAGGAAAACATCATAAAGCTGTCTATAAAACAGCAGGGGAAAAACACATCAGAATTAGGAGAGAGTGAGAGAATGGGTGACATTGTCGTAAAAAAATGTACTCATTATATGACTTATGTGACTATAGCCTCTCTGTGCATCACCTTTATAATATTTTCTAAAAGCACATCAGTGCCATGCTCCTACTAGTGAGCTGCTGGGCTAAGCAGGTGTTAGTGGCCAGTTGGATGGATGATTCTTAGAGATGGTCTGTTTCTGGGGAAAGACAAGGGCAAGTGAGTAGGGGGTTGATGCTATCTGCATGTTTTGGGCCTTGCTGTATGGTACTAAATCCCAGGAGCCTCCTAAGTCACATTAGCTTTGTGTCCATCCTGCGGAGCTGAGCTGGTCATGCTTATTTTCAGCAACTGGAGCATCTAACCAGGACAGGTGTCTACCTGCCAACCATAGTGTGGTATCTCTGACCTGGCTTAGGTTGTTGACAGAGTGTCTTAAGACAGCAGGCTCCAATGAATGTACCTGTTCCTGTTCTTAAGAGTTAGACATCTTAGCCTTCTCAACTCCAAGCATGGCAGAAGATAGCTTGTCATCTTACCTTTTTCCTTCTGAAGAGTTTTTTTTTTTTTTGGGGGGGGGGGGGTCCAGTCGTGGGGCCTGAACTCTGGGCCTGGGCACTGTCCCTCAACTCTTCAGCTCAAGACTAGCGTTTTACCACTTGAGCCACAGCGCCTCTTCTGGCTTTTTTCTTTTTTGCTTATGTGGTGCTGAGGAATCGAACCTAGGCCCTCATGTACACAAGGCAAGTACTCTACCACTGAGCCACCTTCCCAGCCCCTGAAGTGCTTTTAGAGAGAGAAGAAGAATACAGTGGGGAAGCCAGCTTGAACTTGAAGTCATTCTACAGGAAGCTGAAGATTCTAGTGAGCACTCTTAGGATATACTTGTGACTAGGAAAGTCTACCCTGTGCTCTGCACTCAAGCAAAAGGTCACATGGGAACAGGATTGAAGGTCCCAAGAAGAGAGTAGGAGACCAGCTTGGACATTTCAGTATTTTGCTTTTCTGTTGCTTTTATATCATTGTAAATGTACTTGAGAGAAGCAGTTTGCAGGAGGAAAGATTTATTTTGGCTCATGGTTTCAGACCCTGGTCATATGACTCTAGTGTTTCTGAGCCCTTGATGAAGCAGACCTGGCGGAGAACATGTGGCAAAGAAAAGTTGGTGGCCAGGAAGCATAGAGAAAGGAAGGAGCCCATTACAAGGTCTATCTTTCCAGGGCATATCCCCAATGACCTACTTCTACGAGCTAGGCTTTACTTCCCAATAAGGCCATATTGTGAATATTAATCCATTTACTAGATCAGGACCCTGAGGATTCAATCACTGCTCAGTAGTACCACCAGCTATGGATCATGACTTCAGCACATGATACTTCATACCCGAATCGTAACATAAGTGACTGACTTTTTACCTGGACTTAGGTAGAAATTCCAACGTGAAGTACAGCCTAGGTGTTACATAGAAAGATTTTACATAGAAAGAAATGATGGTGTCTACCTGTGTGCTTCTGCTGAATTTGTGTGCCAAATGTGCCGGGAGACATGGACTTGCCACCTTTGGGGAGCATGTAGATCCGAGAGGGATGTTCGCAGGCCCTCCTCGTGACCCATGTATGTGCCTGGACATGACCTCCACAGCACCCAACCTTCATCCCTGTGCCCTAGGTCCTGCTGGCCCACCCGCCTGTGGCTGCTCCAGTCCCTGCCGTGTCCCTGCCATCTGCTGTCCTCTCCCCACCTCTACCAGACGTGCTGCCGCCTGCTGTCCCTGAGCTCCTGCCTAAGTTTCCTAGCTCCCTGGCCCCCACTGTCGTGGCAGCAGCTCAGAGTGTGCCTGCCATGACCACTACACTCCTGCCACCAGCAAACCCACCGCTGCCGGCTGGGCCTGTGATCTCCAGCCCCTGCCCAGCTGTCCAGTTGACAGTGGAACCGGCCCAAGAGGTGTGTGCCTGTGCCCCCCCCACACACATTTGAAGCTTCTTGAGACTCAGCCTTAGACTAAGTGGTACTCTAAGGTGAAATGTGCTCCAGAACAGCCATACAATCCTGTTCTTTCCCCTCGCACTTTTCCTAAATCCAAAAGAAGGTGAAGAGCATGAGTTGTATAAATGATCTCGGGGATGCTTTCCCTGGGAGAGACTGTAAACTTTGTGAAAGCTTTTTACAAAGCCTATGTGTCCTCTTTTTAGGGATGATCAAAGCAGGATGACAATTTTGGAAAGGAAGCAATCCTTAGCTTTTAGGAATCCACTTGGCTCCAGGCTTTTCAATAAGATGAAAAGCTCCCTGCTGGCCCCAGTGTGATAGCCCTCTAGCTGCAGGCTGAGGATGGGAAGGAGGGAGGGCCACACGCAGGAGGTAGGAACCTCGTGACCCATTCTCTTCACTCTGGTTTTATTTCAGGAACCAGCCTCCCGAGACAAGCCGCCTGGTCTCCCACAGAGCTGTGAGAGGTACCCATCCATCCTTGACCTGGGGACAGGAAGGGATACAGACCCACATTTCAGTACAACCCAACCACTGTCTCTGGGATTTTGCCCCCTTTGCTTAAATGCCATCAAGAAGTTTAATACAAGCCGGATACTGGTGGCTTACACCCATAATCCTAGCAACTCAGGATGCTGAGATCTGAGAATCCAGGTGCAAAGCCAGCCCAGGCAGGAAAGTCTGTGAGATATCTTATCTCCAATTAAGACCAAAAACTGGAAGTGGAACTGTGGCTCAAAGTGGTAGAGTGCTAGCCTTGAGCAAAAGAGCTCAGGGACAGCACCCAGGCACTGAGTTCAAGCCCTACAACCAACAAAAAAAAAAAAGAAGAATTTTAACACAAATCTATCCACTTTTTCGAATCTGACCTAGTAGAGCCTCGGGAACATTCTCTCAGGGTCTTTATCAGCCCAAATGAAACCTGGTGGTTGGGGTGGAAGAGGGGGAGGTTGTCTAGCTCCTATTACCTATTGCTGATCTCTGTGTTAAGAACATTCCAGAAGGAAGAGGCCATGGATATTGTTGGAAGTACCTAGAGACCAGGAGGGGCTGGGAACCAAGCAGGAACGCTGTGGACTGGGCAGAGTTCAGTACAGCTCTAGGGTCTCCCAGGCCCCTTTCTTCTTGTGTTCTTTGGGGAGGGGGTGAAGTAGTCACCTTACTTAGTTTTAGGAAGTGGTTGTGAGCTCCACTGTCCTAGAAATCTGGGTGCTGTTAGATTCCCCCATAGCCCTCACAACAGCCCTGAATAAGTGCTGTGTCATGGCTGCTCAAATGGAGAAAGCAAGGCACAGGGGTGGAATCACAACTAAGGAGGTTTAGAGAGCCATAGTCATGCAGCCAGTGACTGGGAATCTGTTTCTGCTTGGCCCTTGAGCCATCTAAGATAGGCATTACAGGGAAAAGAGGAGTCCCCATGTCCTCTTAAAAGTTCCCAGGCTGGACTATCCTGGCTATAGTAGACATGCTGGTCATCTGTGGATGCCATTAACATTCTTGGTTTTCACTCAGCTATGGTGGCTCTGATATCACTTCTGGACGAGAGCAAAGTGATAGCTGTGAAGGCGCCTTTGGAGGGGGCAGGCTGGAGGGCAGATCTGCCAGGAAACACCACCGCAGGTCCACACGTGCCCGCTCCCGCCAGGAGAGGGCCAGTCGCCCTCGTTTAACTATCCTGAATGTGAGTGTTAGGATATGGAACACACTGACATATGTGTTCTGTACCGTAGTCCCTGCGTTCTGACTGTCTGCTTCCTGCAGGTGTGCAATACAGGAGACAAGATGGTGGAGTGCCAGCTAGAAACTCATAACCACAAAATGGTCACCTTCAAGTTTGACTTGGATGGGGATGCCCCTGATGAGATTGCCACATACATGGTAAGGCTGGCCCTGGGTGACGTCATCTCCTTGTAGTCCTTGGGCACAGGTAGAAGCAAGTATATCAAGCTCAGCCCTGCATAGAAGTGTTAGGCTCCCTGTGCATCAATATCAGTGCCTGGGGGGCTGCCCCCAGAGCTGTTGGTCTGCAGCTGGAACAATGGCACTCTGTACCTGCATGTTCTTGAGTGTGAGAGAGCAGCTTGAAGAATGTATTCATAATGGCACACGAATGGTGTTTTTACCACACCTTAGCCTCTCCCTGAGATTAAGCAAAGGGAAACAACAAGCCCATGGTCTGTTATCCTATGTTCCTGTGTAGAACTATCCGTCAGCCTCCCCAGTGGAAGTGCAGATCCTAGCCCTGCACTCCACCCCTGTTTCCCCATTTCTGTCAACACTAACAGTCCCTGCTGTGAGCACCTTGTCACTCACAGGCTTCTCTCCACCCTATTTCCCCTGCTCCCAGAGCATCCTGCTGTGTCCCCAGCACCCAGCCCTGGCATGAGTTGAACCTTGGGCCTCAGAAACTATCATGCCGAGAACACTCAAAGACAAGGGCAAAAAGGATACACTTATGTTGAGCAGATTTCCTGGCCCATTGATGAATACATGACAGGATAATATCTTTTCTAGACTGTCATTCGCACAGGAGGGGAGTTTAGGAAGCATGTCTTAAAAAAACAGTTGACATTGGTGATAGGTGCTGTGGCCCTTCATTCCAGATGCCATCAAGTGCAGTGACCAGGCCTAGCATGATTAGTGAGCACATATGAAATTTAATTCAATGTTAATTGTCTTATGTGGCCACTGGCTACTGCCTTCAACAATTCAACTGTTAAGGTCACCAGAAAGTTGTACTTGCTAGGCAGGTACTCTACCCATCTTGAACTATCGCTCTAGTCCCTTTTGATCTTGGTTATTTTCAAAATAGAGTCTCATTTTATGCCCGAGCTAGCCTAGAATACAATCCTCCCACTTACATTCCTTCTTGTCACTGGGTATGATAGAAAGGGACCACTGAACCCAGCCATTGTGCTTCCCCAATAGCTGGATAACAGGCATGCACCACTGTGTCCAGCTATTGAGTAAATGGAATCTTGCAAACTTCCTTTGCATCAGAGTAGCTCAAATTGAGATCCTCCAATCTCCACCTCCTAAGTAGCTAGGATTGTAAGATTAAGCCATTGTGTCTGGCTTGCTCATATATCTTGAACCATAACAAACCGTCTGTGAAGCAGTCCTTTGATCTCTCACTGCTGCAGTATTCCATCAGTCCTATTTCTCGCTAACTGTTCTTCACTCAAACAACAATTGTAGGAACTGCATGTTAATGTCCTCTTGGTTTTGGCAGCTGTTTTATGTACGTGCCTATGTGCCCACACACACACACACACACACACACACACAAGTCCCTGCATAATGATGAGTTAGCCACTTCAAAGCTAAGTCATCTAAGACATCTCTATGAAGGAGACCCGATATGAATACACAATTTTTGCCCATCCCCCCAGCTGTGAAGCCTCTGTTGGGCTCCATCGACTCTCTTCCTCACAGTCCCTTCTTGCCCCAGGGACAGAGACTCCAATGGGAAGGAGAGCTATGGCTGGTGGAGCTGTGCACTATTCAGACAAGCTTCTCCCTGGGGAGTGCCAGATATCCCTAACTGCTCTGTCACTGGTAGATTTTGTTAGGTCTTGAGTTCATTATTCTGATGAAGATCTACTTCCAGCTCTGCAGTAAGTCGGGGAATGTGGATGTTTGGATTAAGTTGGCATTGATTGTGGGTTTTTTTTAGGTTTTTATTTACTATTTTGCTTTTAATTGTTTTGAGGTCTTTACATTTTTTTTTTACTAAGTGCATGTGTTGCAGGACACAATAACAGGCCCTAGTTCACAGAGTAGAACATCCTGTGTATACTTGCACTCAGTGTACTGTGTCACAACTGGAGGTCCAATAATGACCATGACATACTGCCTTCAAACAGTGTCACTTTCTCTCAGTTTCTGGTGGCTCACACCTGTAATCCTAGCTACTCAGGAAGCTGACATCTGGGGATCAAGGTTCAAAGTCAGCCTGGGCAGCAAAGTCTATGAGACTCTTAGCTCCCGTTAACCACCAGAAAACCGGAAATGGCACTGAGCCTTAAAGTGGTAGAATGCTAACCTTGAGCAGAAGAGCCCAGGCTCCATGACCAACAAACAATAACAACAAAAAATGTCATTTTCCCTGACTATACTCAGTTAAAAGGTACATCATGTAAGACAATGTTAGCTCTACATCTCAGGGATGTGGGCACTGTGCTGTTCCTGGGAAGGAATCTATGAGGGACAGGGTGTCAGGAGAGTTCTATTATGCAGGCAGCTTTTTTTGGAGAGGGGGCGCGGGGCTGGAATCCATCCATAAAGGGATCTAAAAGGATGGATATCTCAAGCAGGGACTAGGTATCAGGGAGTATATAAGTAGAAAATAGGTGCTGTGACTTGAAAAACGCAGAGATTGAACCTTGCTGTGCAGGGAACAGCTAACCTCTGTCCCTAGAGTCACCCTGGAGCTATCAGATGATTTTTCTGACATGCACTATATCCCATTTGCCTGAGCAGCCCAGGACTCAGTGGTGTACAATGAACCTATATGAGAGTTGAGGGCAGTGACTGTGTCCTGCTCAGCCCTAGCCCTACTCCAGGTGCTGGTGACTGATAGAAAATTCTTCCACGTGAGCAGTGTGGCCATTAGGACCTAGTGGGAAGCAAGGGGTACATGATCTCAGGCCCAGCCATCAGGAGGATATCCACCAGCATGGCTAGATGCACACTGTGGAGAGACAGCCTTCTTGCTTGGACATCCAGATCCAAGGTGCAGGTGGAAAGTCTATAACACTGCCAATGCTGTTTAGAGGCACGGGAGCAAGGCCAGAACCCACAGGTCTGTATGAACAGCCTTTCCATGTCGAATATCAGGGCAGCCTGGTTGATTTTAGAAACACGCTCTCTGGACTTAGCACTGAGAAAGGCCACTTGGCTATAGGGTGAGATTTTAATGAGGAAGCCAATCTCCACAGGTTGTGGAAAATACACACAAGCTCATGGACAGAGCCCTTAAGGGGGGACAGTGCTTACCTTAGGGCTCCAGGAAGGGTGTTGCCACATGGGGCATTATGGTGGGTGCGGTATATTCTTCAATAACTGCTCTGCTCTGTCACTGGAGCCATCTGCTTCTTGCACTGTGCAGCGTCTGTATGGAGACATGTCTCTTCGCCATGCTTCCCTTGGAGTCTAGGGTAGAGAGCCATACATCCCCATAAAGCCCCCATGCAGCTGTGGCATGCGGCATGTCGTCACTAGCAGTCCCATGGCCCCTTGCAGGTGGAGCATGACTTCATCCTGCCGGCCGAGCGTGAAACATTCATTGAGCAGATGAAGGATGTCATGGACAAGGCAGAGGATATGCTCAGCGAGGACACAGATGCTGACCATGGCTCTGATGCAGGAGCCAGCCCACCACACCTGGGCACCTGCGGCCTGGCTGCAGGGGAGGTGAGAACTTAGGTCCCCAGGGAGCAGAGGCGGATTGGTGGGGGAGGGTAGATGCATCATCCAGGCGGGAAGTTCTGCAGGAAGTTCTCTGTGAGCATGGGGACACACTGACGTCAAGTCCTTCTCTCTTATGCAGGAGAGTGGACAGTCCCAAGCAAATGCCCCTGTGTACCAACAGAACGGTGAGTCTGCCCCCACCACACCTTTGGTAGGTCACACCTACCAAAGCAGTGAAGCCTCTGAAAAGCACCTTTTTCCTAGATCCTTCTGCTTTGCATCACAGGTTCCATAAAGGTGCCTGGTATGCATGGAAGCAGAGGCTTTGGGCCATTGCACTTGGAGGGTGGGGGAGTGTGTGGTGACAAGTGTCTCCATCTGGGAACAGCTGTCTTCCCCGAAGAGCTGTTGTACACTAATTTAACACTACTGCTTTTAAGGCTGGTGCTTTGGGCAGTCTAGGAGTTAAGCCCCAGTCAGGTACTGCTGAGAGTCTCAGATTGCCCATGGGGTTCCTTGGGCTGTCTGTCTACCGCTTGTCCCTCTGTGTGAGGGAAAAGCAGAGGGAAGCACTCTCTAGACACTCTTCATCGACCACCATGGAGGAAACTATTTAGGATTCTGAGAGAGAACTTGGGTTCCTTGCCCCTTACCATTGGGATCACTTCCCACAGGTGTAGGCAAGTTCCCTGGAGTCCCCATGGCACATACAGTACATATACATACCCAGGGGTTACCTGGTCAAGAAAGATACTTTCTCCCTCAGCACTGTTTATGTTCTGCTCCTTAGTTCTGCACACAGGGAAGAGGTGGTTTATCATCTGTCCAGTGGCTGAGCACCCAGCAGCTGATGCTTCTGAAGCTTCCCCTCCACTTCCGATAAGCTCCCTGCAGCCAGAAGCCAGCCAAGGTAGGAGCAGCCAAGGAACCCCCAGGCTTCCTCTTAGCCACCCTTCTCTGATGTGCAGTGCTTTTCCAGCATCCCGAAGCTTGGAGCAGCCAATGGGACTCTCTCCTCATTTTCCCCTGGACCAGCTAAGTAAAGGCAGCATCCCTTAAGTCCTGTCATCTCCACCACACAAATGAAGCAATAACTGCACAGGCATGTGCTAATGAGCTCTGCCCTTTCTGTGCAGTGTTATCTAGTGACCCTTGCCCTTGTGAGTCCTGCTTTGCATGGGATAAGGGAGAGTCGCACTCAGTCCTGAGACTGTCTGATTTTCAGTTGTCAACCTGCATAGTGATCAGTGAGTACTGTTGATCCACACCTGGGCCGTCACCTGTCTGTACAGATAACTGTAAACTTGCCCTTTGTACTCTTAGTTAAATCTTGACTTTTATGGTCTTTTGGGAAACCAGAACATAGTCATTTGAATAAATTTCAATATAATTCCCTAACACTTGGGAGAAAAGAGCTGCTAATTAAGTAATCTAAGATAACATAAATGTATATTCATGAAAAATATTTGTAAATTAATTTCGATGTCCTATATACTTTTAGAGAATCGTTATGAAAAGGAAAAGGTCAGCTCTATAATAAAATCCCCAGTGACCCACAGAGACAGGATGCACTCTAGCCAAAGGGATGGGCCTAACCTAGCCTGGGGAATCAGGGAAAAATAACTTTTAAAAATGAGACTGTCTTCACATATTATCTCTTCTTCGTACTGTACACTTTCCCAGCTACAAGCAAAATCCCTTTGAAAAGGGATGGTAAACTTTAGTGTGACATGAGATTGAAGAGACATTGTGGTGTAGAGTAAGAGCAAAGTGTTACAACCAAGTGTGGTGGCTCGCTCTTATAATCCAATGTTAAGAGAGCCCTACTTCAGTCAAAAGTCAATTATGGTGGTATGTACCTATGAGCCTAGCGACATAGGAGATATAAGCATGAAGATCACTGTCTGAGGCCAGACCCAGACCAAAACATGAGATCTATCTGAAAAATAAAGCAAGAAGGGCGGTGAGCATATTTCAAATGATAGAGCACCTGCCTAGTAAGCCCAAGTCCCTAAGAAAAAGGGGAAGAAGGGAGGGAGGAGAATGGAAAGGAAAAGGGGGTGAGGGGGGAGGGGTTGGGAAAGAAGGAAGGAAGGAAAGGAAAAAGGAAGGCAAGTATAATGACAACAGAGTTAAATATTCGTCCTTTATGTACACATTGGATAACCTCTGGGAACCTTTCGTAGCCAGGTTGTCCATTAAAAAAAATGGAAACTGAGGGACAGATGTGTTGATTTACATTAAACAACCACAGTGGGTGACTGAAAAGAGTTTGACAAGTTATGGAAATTATTTCTTGAAGGAATTGGAAATCTCAAGATAGGAAGAATTATCAGACCAGGGTCAGTGGAGGTTGAAGCCTGGTCTTGGCCCCTTTTCCTCAGGGTTTATCTCCTATTCCTGTAAGAGAGGTTGAACTTGGCTTCAGCTACCTGGCCACTAAAGAGAGGCATGGAATCTTGGCCCCACAGTGGCTCTTCTGAAGGTATGCCTAGAGCAGGCAGGGGCACAGGAAAAAACAAGCCTTCAGAGTACTTCCAACTCCTGGACAAATCTATGGGCAGCAGCAGATAATAGTAGCCTACAACAGGCAGAATCACGAGGAGAACCTTCCTCTTTGTGGAGTGGAGCCAGGGCTCCAGACCTGTTGCTTTGATTTTTTTTTTCTGTCTTCCACTGCCTAGTGCAGTCATAAAAAATGGGTGGTTTAACTAGGTGCTAGTGACCCACACTTGTAATCCTAGTTACTGATATCAGAAGAGGCTGAGCAGAAAAGTCTGTGAGAATCTTATCTCCAATTAAGTAGCAAAAAGCTAGAAGTGGAGGTGTGACTCAAATAGTAGAGTATCAGCCTTGAGTGAAAAGCCAAGCAAGAGTTCAAGGCCATGAGTTCAAGCCAAGTACTGGCACCAAAAACATAAACCACATCGGTTTGGGGCCAGAGGTTCAACAGGAAGTCCAAGAGAACCAGAAAATACCAGGAGGACACAGAGAGGAGCTTCAGAAAGCAGCATCAAGCTGAACTGCAAGGTGTACCCCCAACTGTGTGTAAGTATTCAGGGACTGGATGCTAATGAGTATACAAAAAACTTTAAGAGCAGGTACAGTGGCACATATCTGTAATCCCAAGTACTTAGGAGGCAGAAGCAAAAGGATTGAATTAGGGGTCAGCCTGGGCAGTTAATAAGACCCTAACTCAGAAACACAAAAGAAAGCCAAAGGGTTGGAAGTATAGTTCAGAGCACCTGCCTAGCAATCATGAGGCATTGGGCTTCGTTCCCAATAATGAAGAAAGAAAAAAAAATAGCACTGAGAAATGAGCTAATGGATAAAACCGCACCCAGGTTCTAGATTGGCCTCTTCGTGACAGACACAAGTTTCAGATCAGATTAGACCTGCAAAAATCACTGAAAATGGAACTGACTATAACCATAGTCCATGGAAGACAGGTCATAACTCCAGTCTGTATTTAACCATTGTGACTGCCTGCTAAAGCACAACTACCAACCTTTGCCATAGAATTTAAACACGTATTGCATAGTATCATTCAAGATGTTGAGAACAGAATCTAAAATCACTTGGCAAGTGAAAAACCACAAAATGTCACCTTCCATGGAAAAAGCCAACAGATGCAACTTAAAGGTGATACAGGTGTTGGAATGATCTGACAACCTAAAGCTGCTATTATAAATATGTTTGAAAATTCAGAAACAGTTTTGAAACAAATGGCAAAGTAGAAAGTATCAGCAAAGAAATACAAGATACAGTGAAGAAATGGAGAATTTAACATTGAGAATTAAAATATCTATGTCTGACAATGATGGCTCACACCTATAATGCTAGCTACTCAAAAGGCTGAAAACTGGAGGATCAAGGTTTGAAGCCAGCCAGGGCAGAAAAGCCTGTACTCCATGTGCAATTAGCAAGGAGCCAAGCTGGAGGAGTGGCTCAAATGGTAGATGTAAGCAAGAAAGCCAAGAGAGAATGAAAAGCCCTGATTTCAAGCCCCACACTACAAAAAAAAGAAAGAAAGAAAGAAAAGCAACCTAACTAAAATATAAGATGAATAAAGAGCTTTAACGACCTGTGAAACAAAAATCAAATATTTAATACTTGTGTCAGAGTTCCAGGAGAGGAGAGAAGGTACAATGCTGAGAAAATATTTGTAAAAAGTAATTCTGAAAACTCAGATTTGGGAAATGGCATAAACCTGGGGATTCAAGAAATTAAGAACACCTCCCACAGGTTAAATCTAAGAATTGCCATGCCTATACACAGTATCAATCTGCTGAAAACTAAACACAAAGGAAAAAAACCATGAAAGCAATTAGAAAAAAATGATTTATTACCTAAAAAGGAACCATAAGTCAGATGACTGCCTGTTTCTCTCCAGAAGCCATGATGTCTAAAAAGAAGTAAAAATTTTAGAAATCTTGGGAGAGAGCCAGGAGCCAGTGGCTCATAGCTATAATCCTATCTACTCTGGAAGCTGTGATATGAAGATCAATGTTAAATGCTAGACAAGGCAGAAAAGTCCATGAGACTCATTTCCAATTACCACTAAAAAGCCAGAAGTGGAGCTGTAGCTCAAGTGGTAGAATGCTAGCCTTGAGCACAAAAGCTCAGCAACCGTACCCAGGCCCTGAGTTCAAGCCCCAGGACAGGCACTAAAAAAAAAAAATCTTTTTTTTGGGGGGGGGGATCTGGTCGTGGGGCCTGAACTCTGGGCCTGGGCGCTGTTCCTCACCTCTTCAGCTCAGGGCTAGCGCTCTACCACTTGAGCCACAGCGCCATTCCGGCTTTTTTCTTTTTGCTTATGTGGTGCTGAGGAATTGAACCCAGGGCCTCAGGCATGCAAGGCAAGCGCTCTACCACTAAGCCACCTTCCCAGCCCTAAAAAAAAAAATCTTGAACTAACAAACCCAGAATTTTTGCCTGTTATCCCAGGGAAGGGGAGGAAGTGAAAGGAAGTGAGGCTAGGACAGGAAGATCTTTGAGTTCAAGGCCATCCTGGTCTATATACTGGTCTTATTTCTCATAAGTCCTACTGAGATCCTTTCTCAGAAGTCCAAAGAGGAGAAGAGACAAACAAAAGAAATGAACAACCAAAACCCCTAACAGAACTAAAACAGAGATAATTCTATAATTGTAGTTGGAGACTTCAGTACTCCTCTCTTAGTAGCAGATAAACCAGACAAAAAATCAGCAAGGATGCAGCAAATCTGAGTCTCTCAACCAGCTTGTCCTCATTGATGTTTACAGAGTACTAAAATGTACAGAACATACTTTCTTTTCCAGTCTTTATGGAACATTACCACATCCTGAATTGGAAAACAAACCTAACAAATGAAAGCAAAGTGAATAATATCAATTGTGTTCTTTGCTATAACTAAGAAGCAAATAGCACTTCTAAATCATTGCTGAAAAAAATAGTTCCATGGAAAGTTAGAAAACATTTTTGAACTAACACAAAAATACAACCTATTAACATCTGTAAGGTATGGCTACAGTAATACTTAGAAGGAAATACATTGTACTAAGTACTTAGACAAGAACAGAGGTCTCAAATCAATATTGCAGTCTTCTAAAGAACCAAGTAAAACTGATGTGAAAATAAACCCAAAGTGGAATGAAGAAAAATGTTTTTAAAAGGAAGAAACCAGTGACCTTTAAAATGTACAAACAATGCCAGGCTTTGGTGGTTTATGCCTGTAATCCTAGCAACTCAGGAGGCTGAGGTTGCTGTTTGAAACAAGTCTGCCTTTCTAGGCAGAAAGTCCATGAGACTCTTATCTCCTGTGAACCACCAAAAGCTGAAAGTGGCTCAAATGGTAGAGTACTAGCCTTGAACACAGATGCTCAAGGACAGTACTCAAGCCCTGAATTCAAGCACTCTCTCTCTCTCTCTCTCTCTCTCTCTCTCTCACACACACACACACACACACACACACACACACAGAGGAATAGTAGGGGTCGGTGGCATAGCTTAGTTGGTAAAGCGCTAGCTAATAAGCAAAAGCAATAGGTACTGACTTCAAGTCCTGATCTTGAACCAAAAAGAAAAAAAATAGAATAGCAAACTGATTATATTTTTTAAAAAATAGTGGGAGACACAGGATCTTCAAGCAGGCCTGTGCAAAAAGCACAACACCCTGTCTTAAAAATAACTAACCCCAAGCCAGCACCAGTGGCTCAGACCTGTAATCCTAGCTACTCAGGAGGCTGAGATCTGAGGATTACAGTTCAAAGCCAGCCCAGGCAGAAAAGTCCATGAGACTCTTATCTCCAATAAACCACTCACAAAACCGGAAGTGGTGCTGTGGCAGAGTGCTAGCCTGGAGCTGAAGAACTGAGGGACAGCACCCAGGCCCAGAGTTCAAGCCCCACAACTGACAAAAAAAAATGAGAAAGAGAGAACTAACCCCCAGCCAGGTACTGGTGGCTCATACCTGTAATCCTAGCTACTCAAGAGGTTAGAAGTGGAGCTGCGGCTGAAGTGGGGGAGTGCTAGCCTTGAGCAATAAAATGCTCAGTACTTTTCTGCACTACCCAGGGAGGGCTTCATACAGGGACTTGTTCTTGATTCCTTAAAAGGAAACTAACACAATGTCCAGAGTCCTTGATATCCTAAAAATGAAGGAGGAGGATATTGCAGCAGCAATCCACTTAGGTGGCACCAACCTTGACTTCCAGATGTAACAGCACTTCTACAAAAGGAAGTGATCCTGGCTGCATCATCAATCTGAAGAGGACCTGTGAGAAATTTCTACTGGCAGTATCTGCCATTATTACCATTGAAAACCCTGCTGCCATCAGTGTCATTTCCTCCAGGAATACTGGCCAGCATGTGTACTGAAGTTTGCCACTACCACCAGGGCCACCCCATAGCTGCTGGCCACTTCACACCCAGAACCTTTACTAACCAGATCCATGCAGCCTTTGGGAACCCTGGCTTCTGAGGTAGTGACCAATCCCCAGGCCCAATCCCCAGCCTCTCATGGAGGTGTCCTACATCAACCTGCCCACTACTGTACTATGTAACACAGATCTCTGAGCTACATGGGCATTGCCATCCCACACAACAAGAGGCCTGACTCCATGGGTCCGATGTGGTAGATGCTGCCTGGGAAGCTTTGCCCATGCATGGCACCATCTCCCGCAAGCACCTGTTGGAGGTTCTGAACAAATGGAAAAGGAAGAGCAGGGTACAGCTGAAAAGACAGTGACCCAGGAGGAATTTCATGGCAAATGGAATGCCCCCACTCCTGAGTTCACTCACTGCCACCCAGCCTGAGGTCCCAGACTGGTTGGAAGGGGTAAGGTGCCAGTGGTTCCCTACTGAATATTGGAGCACCCAGCCCCACCAGTGAGGGGTCTGAGGTGGCTACTGCCTAGGCCATCAAATGGGTATGAGAACAACCACCGAATGGTCTTGAGCTGTTGGTCTGCAGACACTTCAGGAAAATGAAAATTGACAGACAATAAATATTAAGAAAAAAGCTCAGGGATAGTGCCCAAGCTCTAAGTTTAAGATCCAGGACTGGCACAAAAATAAAATAAAATGTAAAAACTAACCTCAACCAGGTGCCAGTGGCTCATGCCTGTATTGCTAGCTACTCAAGAAACTTAGATCTGAGGATCATGATTCAAAGCCAGAAGTGGAGCTGTGGTTCAAATGGTAGAGTACTAACCTTGAGTGGAAAAGCTCAGGGGCAGCATCCAGGCCCTAAGTTCAAGCCCCAGTATCAGCACCAAAAAAAAAAAAAGTGTTGATGGGTATGTAGAAGAACCAGAACTCATACATTGTATGAAATAGTATAACTACTTTGGAAAATGGTGATACATACTTTAAAAAGTAAATGTGCAATTACTATGTCATCCAGTTATCCAGTCTAGTCATTCTACATGTAAGTCCAGTCATTTTTCTGAATCTGTTGGGAACTGGTTCCAGCATCCCTCACTTCTTCCCCTCCCATACCTGAGACTGCTCAAGTCCCTTACATAAAATGATACAGTATTTTCATATAACCTATGTGTAACCACTTTATATGTTAAATTGTCTCAAAATCATCTCTAGATTTTTTTTGTCAGTCCTGAGGCTTGAACTCAGGGCCTGGGTCCTGTCCCTGAGCTTCTTTTGCTCAAGGCTAGCACTCTACCACTTGAGCCACAGCGCCACTTCTGGCTTTTTCTGTATATATGGTACTGAGGAATCAAACCCAGGGCTTCTTGAATGCCAGGCAAGCACTCTACCACTAAGCCATATTCTCAGCCCTTCTCTAGATTATTTGTAAGAACTAATTCAATGTAAATGTTCTGTAAATGATTGTTGTACTGTATTTTTTAGGGAATAATGACAAGGAAAAAAGTCTGTACATGTCAAGTATAAAAACAATTTTTAAAAACAAATTCAACTCCATTCGGTACTGGTGGCTCACACCTATAATCCTTGCTACTAAGACCTGTAGGATCACAATACAATCTACAGGCCTTTCTGCCCAGTCTATATGGCTATTCAATGGAATACCATCTAGCCACTTAAAAAAGAAATCCTGCTATGTGCTACAACATGAATGAGCCAGAGGGCCTAATGCTAAATAAAATAAGCCAGTCACAGAAGGATAAATACTGAATGCTTTCCACTTAGAGAAGGTATATCAGTAGTCACACTCAGAAAGAGGAGAAAGTAGGGGACAGAGTTGTTATTTGGTGGACATAAAATTTTGGTTATACAAGCTGAGTAAATTCTAGAGGCTAGTATACTACAGGGTTATGGTTACCAGTATGGTATTGTGTTCTTAAGCATTTAAGAAGTCTGATCTCCTGTTAAGTGTTGTTACCACGGTTAAAAGTGCAAGCAAACCCCAGCAAAACCCTACCACATACTCCCAGGCTGACTTGAGGAGGGAAGGAAGCCCTAGGGGAACTCGGAGGCTGTCAGTGGAAGAGGACATTTCCCACACATACACTCTGAAAGGGCTTTTAGCAGCTTCTACTGAGACCAAAGGTCCTCAACTTGCATTCCCTTTGCTCCCACCATGTGTACCTGATAAGACTTGGGCATCGGCACAGTGTGCTTTCATGTTAATGGAGGTCCAGCATTGACAGAACTCCATGTACCAATATAGAATGGGTGCATGTATCCAAACAGAACAGCACACAGGTGTATGTCACATGAACAATGGTGAATGAGAAGCCAAACATCAAAGATAAATACAGTACCATTCCACAGACAGATTATGCTAAACCCAGCAAAGCAGAAGGATGATATTTAGAGAGACATGACAAAACCATAGACATACATGAGAACATGTTTATTTCAATTTCTCACCTTTCAGAGTGGAGGGTGTGGTGTGAGTCTAGGAGCTTAAGGGAGATCTCAGGGTCCATGTAACTCCCTACTCCCGTCTTTGTTATGGTTTACATTTTTGTTTCATACATTTTGTCTATGTTTTTAAAAAGATAAAAGAGTTGTTTTTTAAAGTAGGACTTCAAGGCTATACACAGTATATTCGTCTCAGACTGCTGCAAGTGCCGAGAAAGCTCTGAGCACTCCAGGTAGATGCTAGAGTGTTATTGTCAGGATCCCAAGTTCCTTCTTTACCAGGACCCTTTGCTGGACTTGGCAACATATGATGTCCTTTGCTGTGAGCTTACCAAAGACTAGGTATCTGATGGATTACAAGGTTCTCATTCCTCCATTCCTGGTTTTGGAAAGATACACAGCTTCCTACTTAATACACCTCAACTTTAGAAATTCTTTTGGAAGATTTTTGTCCAATGGGCCAGTGCATGCTAAGAGCCATACTTTATGGAGCTTATCTTGCAGGCCAGAATGTATACAGACTGATGATAGAGAATGGGCCACACCTGACAGTCACATGCTGCAGAAGGACTGTAGGAAAGGGCAAATGCTGACAGAGACTGGAGGTGAGAATTGCCCATTGAGAGACCCATGGAAGGTGTTTCAGAAAGGCAATGGCCAGACAGAAGTCAAATATGGACAGGAAGTAAGACTTAGCACATCAATGAAACAGGAACCAGTGTGCTGGGCCACAGCCAGGTTATGGTAGAAGAAAGACATCATTCCTGGCAGGGAAGGATTCATGTGAGTAGGACTGGAGTAGGTGGATACAAAAGCATTTTCCCCGTTTCTTCTAGACACAGCGCCCTACACAGACCAGCTGTCCTTGAAGGAAAAACCTGGCTTCCCAGCTGCTCAGCAGCTCCTGAGCCAGGCAGGCCCCAGTGACCCTTCCAGCGGGGCATCAGCCTCCTTGGCACCATCCTCCCCTCCCACGACTACTGCACTCCAAGACACAGCAGCACCAGCCGCCAGCGCCACACCAGAGCCAGCACCAGGGACTGCTGTTCAGGCAGGGGGCCCAGGGACCCCTCAGGGGAGAGCCAATGAGCGTGAGACACCCAAGCCACTGGCTGAGACTCACCATGCTCAACTCGCTCCACAGCCCCTCAGCACAGACAGAGGACCTTATACTCTAGCTACAGAGACCTCCTGCTGTCCTACAGTTTTGGGGGAGCCTGCTTCATCTAGGGAGGTCAGCGCCCCAAAGGATCCCCTTCCTGCTTCAGCACTGGAGCCCAGCCCACCAAGCGGGGTACTGCAGCCTGCTGTGGGTCAGCCACCATCCCTGCTGCCTTCCACAGTGGGGGCCATCACCCTGGCTGCCCCCCAGCTTCCCAGCCCCCCCTTGGGGCCCACTGCTCCTCCACCACCACCCTCAGCCCTGGAGTCAGATGGAGAAGGGCCGCCCCCCAGGATGGGCTTTGTGGACAGCACCATCAAGAGCCTGGATGAGAAACTGAGGACCTTGCTCTACCAGGAGCATGTGCCCACCTCCTCAGCTTCTGCTGGGACTCCCATGGAGGTGTGTGATAGAGACTTCACCTTGGAGCCCCTGAGAGGAGACCCACCTCGTGGAGAGGTCTTTGGAGGAGATCCTGGGCTTACCCAACTGCCCCAACCCTTGGTGAGTGGCAGGGCTCACCCTAGACTTAATGTGGGCAGGAATCCTAGCTATGCAGAGCTGCCCTCCCCCAGGGCCCGTGTGGCCCTCTGGGTGACCCACTCATGCATAAGTGGCCTCTGTCTAGCAATGTAAGGAGGGAAATGGGAAGAGGGGGAGGGGGGCAGAGTGGCTCCAGGCAACACAGTCCAATTGTCTCATGGTAAGGGCAGACTGAGGATGGCTCCAGATACAGGAGGAAACAGATTTGCAATTAAGCTAGTGGGGGGGGGGGGGGGTGTTGGAAGTGCAGCTCAGTTGATAAAGCACTATTCAGTGATTGAAAGGGGATGTAGGTACTGAGTTCAAGCCCTGATCTTAGACCTAAGGGGGAAAAAAAAAGGAAAGAAATATGCTACTGAGATGTTGACTGGCCAAGCTCACAATTCTTCCCTTTTTTGTTTGATTCTTCTTCTAGTTGGAAAAGTCAGAAACAGCTCCTGCAGGATGGACCCCAGCAGATGGAGAGCGGGAACAGGGTGCATCTTCATCAATAACAGGTAACAGGCTCAAGATCACACCTAACCCTGTGCTACCAGTCTTCCTGGGCCCAGACCTCCTGCATTTACACCCTTACCCTTCATGCATTACAGGATAAAATGATCTTTTCCAGATAAAAAGATATAGCTTCTAGAGAGGGAGGGACTTAGACACTTCATTGTCTGCCAAAACTAATCTTAAAGGAACCTCTCTCACACTCCAAGGACAGAAATCCTATCTGTAGAAACAGATGAAAGCTGCGATCAGAACTAGGAGGAGGGGAAGGGTGCTGGGATATTATACAGAGCATTTCTCTGGTTCCCAAGCTCTCAGATGACAAATGGCTAAACACAGAGGATATCCCAGGCCCCTGAGCTGCTTCAGCAAAGTTACATCATAGTTATTTTGGCTCAAGCATGGCGTAGGGCTGTTTCTTCAGCTCCCAGAGCTATGCTATTGAAATGGTCCAAGGTCTGCTGAGTTCCTTCATGGCACTAGCTGCTATGCACTTCAGGCGAGTAGGTGGGAAGGACTCTTCTGCTCTAATTTCTTGCTTTATGATTCAACACCTGAGTCTCCATCCTAAGGGAGCTGTCTACCTTCAGAAGTGCAAAGTTTCTTTCTCAGCCTGGAATTTCTTAGGGCCTGGCAAGATAAGGACAGGGTTGTAGCTGAGTTTAGAAATGGAAACCTCAGTGTGTATTGGCAGCTTATAGCCCTTGAGAGTCCAGGCTGCTTTTGTAGATTGAAAGGAACCATCCTACTCTACCTGCCCACCCAGGAGCTGTGTTGGTTTCTAGACACTACACTTAGAAAAGCATTGGGGAGGACAGGGCAGAAGCAGGATCAGCCTTTGCCTTGCTACCTATCAGCTCTCCTGTCACTCCATCTGGGGCTGGCTTCACAGTGTAAGAGGCATCCCAGGGATCCTTTGACAGATGAAAAAACTGAGCTTGGGTAGCCTGCAAATGATATACCTTACACTCCAAAACCCACACTCTTCTCAGAATACAGAACTCATGAGCAGAGAGCTCCAGGCTGACTCAACATCAGATGAACAGGTAAACTTTTCTGGCAAACAGATAGAAGAAATGCAGTTATTTGAGTACCTCAGTCCTCAAGATATTCAAAGATTGGTGTATGACATCACTCACAGGGGTGAGGACAGTCCTGTGTTGCCCATAGTTTGGGGATACATGATAGAGACTAGATTTCATCTCCTTGGAAATATATGTCTACATGGAATATGTAGTGCAGATGTATGTGTGCGTGTGTGTGTGTGTGTGTCTGTGTGTGTGTATTTCTAGGAGAAATCTCTATTCCTCTGCATTAGATCCTTCCCATACAGCATGTTGACATAGTTCCTGCCCCAGCCTGCTCATGATTTTTTTTTTTTGCATGTGGAGGTCTTGACCTAGGTAGGGTCTCCACCCAAGGTGTGATCAGCTATTTGAACTTATCTCATTGGCTTTTCATGGCAACAGCAGGAAGATGGTCAAAAACATACTATAAGGGAGAAAATGGGTGAGGATGATAGAAGAGATGACATTGAGATGTACTGTACTCATAACCTGATATATGGAATTATAACCTCTTTGTATAACCATACTGGCCCTACTTTAGGGTGGAGAACATTCAGCCTGAAGGCTACATAGGTCAAGAAATTACTTACAGGACAGACATGTATACTTCTTGGCTTGGCTGCCTGTGTTGATAACTTTGTATGGCCTGTGGATGGTGCTAGGAATATCTAAATGGATCTTGGCAGAGCATAGGTTTCTCTACCTCTACATGGAGAGCACGGGGGCAGCTGTAGTACAGTGGACAGTCCCTAACTCCATAGGAGGAGGGTAGAACTTGCCCTACTGTGTGCTCAGGGAGAGCCTCCTAAGCCAGAGGCAGCTAGGGAAATGGGGTGTTAGCCATTCTATCAGATGTGCAGAGGCCTGGAGCACTAGAGGCTAATAATGCCTCTTCCCTTCGCCAGGTTTGTAGATGCCTTCTGTGAAGTGGCATGTACAAGATGCCATGAGATGAGGGCATCACTATTTTCAGCCCCTTAGAGCACCAGCTCTCGCTTCCTGGCCAACCAGCGTTGTTCCCAGGTCATTCAACACGGGTCTCTCAGCTAGCAACCATCTGTCTCTTCCCCTTCTGGTGATCTTGTCCCTGTCCCTACAGCAGAGTCATCTTCCAGCAACACACTGGGCTGTGACAGTGATGGAGGACAAGTGGCTTCAGATTCACCTGCAGCACCCAGTGCCCCCCAGGTAAGGGGGACTTTTTTGACAGGAATCTCAGCTGGCTGGGAAGGTTTGCTTCAGGTTGTGTTCTCAGGGCATCTCTTTATTTCCACTTGTTTCCCAAGGATGCCCCTATTTCTGCCAGCCCTGCACACACGGATCCCACAGACAAGAATGGCAGGGTCCCCAGGGAAGCCTTGGTAGAGCCCATGAAGAGGTGCCTGGGAACATTCACAGAGGGCAGCCAGGCTCATGGAGCTCGGGCCGCAGGGTCCCCCCGGAAGTGGCCAGGGCAGCAGGACAACAGCTCACCAGCCAAAACCGTGGGCCGCTTCTCGGTGGTTAGTACACAGGACGAGTGGACCCTGGCCTCCCCCCAAAGCCTGAGGTATTCTGCCCCACCTGACGTCTACTTGGATGAGGTTCCCTCCAGCCCCGACATGAAGCTGGCAGTGCGACGGGTGCAGACGGCCTCCTCCATTGAGGTTGGTGTGGGCGAGCCCGCATCCAGTGACTCTGGGGACGAATGCCCAAGGAGGAGGCCTCCCGTGCAGAAGCAGTCCTCCCTCCCTGGTGGTGGAGGTGTGGCCAGTGACTTCGTCAAGAAGGCCACTGCCTTCCTGCACAGGTCCTCGAGGGCTGGCTCACTGGGCCCCGAGACACCCAGTAGGGTGGGCGTGAAGGTCCCCACCATCAGTGTCACCTCCTTCCACTCCCAGTCATCCTACATCAGCAGCGACAATGACTCAGAGTTTGAGGATGCAGACATCAAGAAGGAGCTGCGCAGTTTGCGGGAGAAGTATGTGATGGTGTCATGGTGTGGTGGAGGTGGTGGTTATGATGGTGGAGGTGGTGGTTATGGTTAGTGGACTTGGTGGTGGTTTGGTGGTTGTGGTTAGTGGACGTGGTGGTGGTGGTTGCTGGTGGTGGTGGTAGTGGTGGTGAGCTTTCCTTTGCCTACTCTGGGCCCTACAAACTATTGGATGGAATTAATACCCTAGAGAGGCAGTACACACTTGCATGTAATGTTGAGGGAGACGGGTCAGTGATAAAGCCTGCTTAGACCTGTCACTGTGGATACCTGTGGGAGCATCTCCCAATCAGCATCTTTCCTGTCACTGGGCAGGGCTACTCCTCCCCTTCATAGTCTGCTTCTTCCTTTGTCACCTTCAGGGAAGACATCTCAGTGTGTTCATGAGACATGACAAAGGGACCGTCCTAGCCACCCCCTCTACTTCTGTCTCTTTGCCATTTGTATCTGGTCTCTGTCATTTTATCTCTGCTTCTCTTTCTCTCTAACTCATTCAGCAATTCATTCTGTCCCTCTAGTTGCCATCTGAGATATCCTTTCCTTTGGGGTTGTTGGCATAGGAGCCTGAGAGGGCAGCTTCTAGCATATGCACCAGCCAGTAGCACACCAGTGGCTAAGAGCAGATTGCTTGCTGAGTGCTCTCTGAGTGGATTCAGAAATCACAGATGTATCGGAGACATTTTTGCAGGTCCTAGTGCACAGAGGGTAGAAGACATGGAAGACACGTAAGTGTCCACAGGAGCCAAAGCCAGGGCCAAAGAGGGGCAAGCTGTAGCCAAGAAAGGCAAAAAGGCAGAAGGGCAGGGTGATGAAGGGCTGCTGTTCCTAGAGGGGTTCAAGAATGCAGTCCCAGTGGTTATACCACTAGGAAGAATCAGCAAAGCCTGCACTGCAGTAAGAAGGTGGAGAGGACCATTGTAGGCACCACTAAGAATCTTTGGGCACAAAGGGATGAGGACTCCTAGGCATAGTCTTTCAGTGGGACTGTCCCCTGGGGAGCATAGCTAGGCCACAGTCTGGCTGTCCCTCTCCAAGGGATCCTTGGAGAGGGTCAGTTTGGATAGGAGAACATCAGTGCGTGAAACTGAAGGAGGCATTAAGAATCTGAGAGGGGCAGATTCCATGAGAAGGTCCTAGAACTGACTAAGATGTAGAAATAAGGGACAGGGCCTAGAAGTGGGGTGAAACCTAGAAAAGGAGTAGAGCCTACAGATGGGGTGGAGGCTAGATATAGTGAGGCTGGAGACGGGTGGAGCCTAGAGACAGTATGGTGCCTAATCGCCAAGAGGAAAGGAAGGAGGAGTCTAGGAAGCATCAGGAAAGAAGGGAACCCAAGAAAGGGAGAAACAGAGCCTGGTAGGGGCAGGGAGCAGAATGGAAAGGTGTGATCTTTTAGAAAGAATAGGGAAGAATTTGAACCTCAATTCAGAATGGAGGGGACTTAATGATATCTGACAGGACTCAGCCAGCTGTTCTCAAACTGCTCTTGCATCAGAACCCCCTGGGCACCTTGTTAGAACACATACATTAGGAGTTCTGTACCACCAGGACTCTTGAGCCCTGTGGAGAGCAGGCCAGGACAGCCTGAACCCAGGGGCAGCCCCAAAGTGAAGCCAATGAGGAAGAACAGTTTGGGGCCGCAAACTTCAAGCCTTGGCATAAACCTGTCATGAAGTCCTGCAGAAGAGGACTGACCCAGTAGGTTTGGAAACCTACTCCCTTTCCAAAGAGAATCTGATGCAAATGGAAGTTTTCTGTCTCCCCTTCTTAATTTGTAGGGGAAAAAAACCACTTGGTGGTGTTTTTTTCCTTTTACTTACTGATTTTCTTTACTAGCTAAAGAAAGTCGTATTTATAAAACTTAAGTTCGCAGCTGTTGAAGACACAGAAGGTAAATATAGGACTTGCTTTCTCCTTTTTTTTTTTTTTTAACCATGAAAACTACCCATTTTCCCAGTCTAAAAGGTGAATATAGGCTGAGGATGGGGAACAGAAAGGACCATGACCCTCTTGTTGGAGCAGCTGGAGCCCTGTGGGTTCCGGTGTTAGTGTCTGGAAGCTCAGTGTGAGGTGGAGGAGAGTAGTGAGAAAGGAAGCCCAGGGCACAGCTCCCTCCCCAGGGAGGCCCTTGAGAGACCACTGTCTTCTGGCTGTCCTAGAGATCACCCTTGCTCACCACTAGTGATCCACTTGCATTCCACCCATGTCATAACCCCAAACAGAGCCCTCTTCAGTAGACCAATGGGATGATATCCAGCTAGGTCAAATAGCAACATGTCCTGCCCCAGAGTTACCTTTCCCACTCACTCCATTGATTTGCACAGAGCAGTTACAACTCATGATCCTGATAAAATGAGGTAGCCTCTCAGCTTCAAGAACCAGCTCATTTTCTTGTTACTTGTGCTAGTACATATGGCTTTAATTGCAGACATAAGCCTGTGCATGGGTTTTCCATGCCTCCCCGGCTGTGAGACAACACAGAAGTCATCATTGAAAATTTAAAACCCTTTGACTCCCCTGCCATTGGGTGTTATCCCTGTCTTAAATGTAAGTGTGCCTTTGAAAGCCCTTCTGAATAGCTCAGGTAGAGACTCAGGCTTCTACCTCTCCTCACACAGCCAGGCCCCTCCTGCAGGGGAAGCCCATCCGCCCTGCTCCCTCTCTTCCCCTCCTCCAGGCACCTGAAGGAGATCTCAGAGCTGCAGAGCCAGCAGAAGGAGGAGATCGAGGCTCTATACCGACGCCTGGGCAAGCCACTTCCACCCAATGTGGGCTTCTTCCACACGGCGCCCCCAACAGGCCGCCGGAGGAAGACCAGCAAGAGCAAGCTGAAGGCTGGCAAGCTATTGAACCCCCTGGTGCAGCAGCTCAAGGTCGTGGCTTCCAGCACAGGTCGGCTGCTGGGTGGAGGGCTGCACTGGGGCTTTATCAGGAGTGGCTGGGGGAACCCCTGAGTGAGCCTGGGAAGCAGGATCTGTGTAGGTGCAATGCTCCCAGACCTGGAAGAATGTTTGAGGTTTTCTTCTTTCTGGATCCCCTTTCATTGGAGCTGAGAAGTTACTGAAGGCCCAAGGAGGCCCTCGGCCTTTATGCTCCATGCAGAGCCTGTGTGTAGGCAGGGCCTGCATGGAGACAGACCTCAACCCTGAATGAAAGGGTACATACCTTTAGCCACCTCTGGGCTGCAGGTATGCCGAGGAAGCCCAAGGCCACTCTCCTTTCCTGCTCCTCTCTGTAGGACACTAACTAGGACAGAAGGTGGCTGCTTCCTCTGATCTCATTTCTCAGGCATACGCCAGTTGGCCTGCTCACTGGGTTTCAGGCAGCTGCTTTTGGGAGCAAGGATAGGATAAGCATGCCCTTCAGGCCTGACAATGATGATGTCCAGAACTTAGGCCCTAGTGCTGTAGTACCCTGGCTCTAGGGAGTGTCCTTGTATGGCGAGGATTCCTTTGAGGCCTCTCAAGCAGCACCTCAGGGTGTACAGGGCTGAGTCCTAGTATTCCAGTGTGGAGATCCTATGAACCCCTAGGCATGCTAGGCGGCAAGGTGTTTAACGCTAAGCACTCCCTGACCACAATTGTAAAGGTTTAACAGAGCTAAAAGGAGACTCATTACAGTGCATAGGCTACTTTAAACTCATGTGTGTGTCTCCTTGTCACTTATTTGGATAGCATAGGTCCAGCATGGCATTGGGGTTGGTAGGGATGGGGCACTTCCTTTCATCTTTCCCAACACTCCCATCCAGGAGATTGGCCATTCATTTGTTGACTGCAGGAGACTCAGCTTCCCCCAAGGTCACCCAGCAAAGAGCAGGGAGCATCCCCAACCCTCACCCTCCCTTGCCTGGCGGCACCTCATGGTGCCTGTCCCCTCTTCTCCCCCCCGCCCAGGTCACTTGTCTGACTCCAGCAGAGGCCCTCCCGCTAAGGACCCTGCCCACGCCAGCACGCACCCGTGCGCCAAGGCAGTTCAGACCCAGCAGCCCTGCTCCGTCCGAGCCTCCCTTTCCACAGACATCTGCTCCGGCTTAGCCAGTGACGGAGGCGGAGCTCGTGGCCAAGGTGATTTCCAGCTTGCCTGTCTCCAAGCATGTGCCAGCCACGTAGGGCTCAATGGTGTCCCAGGAGCTCACCTGATTGTGTGGAGGGGGCTAGAGCCACAGCCAAGGCTGCTAAGCAGCTTTGTTTAAAAGAAAAAGAAAAAAAGAGAGGAAGATAAGGGAAAAAAAGACATAATCTTTGGATACAAAGAATGTAATTGCCCTACCATCACCAGGTCTTAGAGTAAGCGGCTCAGAGGCAGGTGGTGGCTTTTGCTAGAGTGGGTCTCAGGAAGTGGCCAAGACTGGGAGGGGTCAACCCGATGACTGGGAAGGGGATGGGACCTGGCATCTTGCTCTGTTCCATAGTGCCCATTCCTTAGGCACTGGCTGCCCTGCCCCACCCACATCCCTGCAGTGGAGCCTGATGGTGCTAAACACCCACCAGGTCCTTCCAAAGTCCACAGGGGACGGCTGGGGACAAGGGCTCAGCTCTCAAGCTGGGAGTTTGGCCCTGAGGAGGAAATGCTGTCTCATCAACGCTGCTGTGGACGGCAGCAGCTGCTCCATACGGCGTTCTCCTGTCCTCACCATCTCTGTCCAGAGAAATCATGGTGACTGATCCAGGTGCCCCGCCCCACCCCACCCACCCCTCCCCTCCGAGCCGCTTTTCTTCTGCTCCTACTGTTGCCTCCTCCCATTCCATGGTCAGTGGCTTTGGTGCTCGGGCTGGGCTAGATGGAGCCGTGGATGTTAAGTTACAGGCTGTTATGGCTGTTGGTGTGGAGAAGGAATCGCAGCAACCTATACTTGATAAGTGTCTCTCTGTTTTCTTCCCTTTATATTCATTTGCAGGCTGGACGGTTTACCACCCAACGTCTGAGAGAGGGGCCTATAAGTCTAGTAGCAAGCCTCGTGCTCGATTCCTCAGTGGACCCGTATCTGTGTCCATCTGTCTGTATTTGTTCTTTTGTATTTTCCCACCTCCCAGCCCTTGGTTTCTCCCCTCCCCATCCCCTGTCTTCATTACTTCTCATGCATTTCATAGGATGCCTCCCCCCATTCCTTGAAGTCACTTCCTCCATATGAAAGGTGGACCCCAGAGCCCTTCCTGTTGAATACCACTGCCCACAGTCACCCCAGCCCCAGACAGCTGTGTGTATGCTCTTGGCTGCGTCTGGGCACCAAAAGCATGTGCAGCAGCATGCCTGCCTCTGCCACGGCCCCTCTACCCCCACCGCAGGCCAGGGCATTCTGCATCCCTCCCATCACCTCATTTATTTCGTTTTTCTTATGTTGAATGTAGTTTTCTTTTCTGTTGCAACTGTGGCCACTCTACATGTCTGCTCGTCCCCAGTTCCAGTGACAACAAAAAGGCGACCCCAACCTTCTCTATGTGCACAGTGTGTTGCACACATGCCTAACTCTGAAGACCCACATATAGTGGGTCAACACAGCTGTAAAGGTCCCCAGAGGGTGTAACCTCTATGCTGGAGGCCAAGGCCCAACACCCAGCCCATTCCCTGCATGCGGAGATGCTAAGAATGTGTTCCAGGGGCTGAAGATATAGCTTGGTGGCAGAGCCCTTGCCAAGCATGCAAAAGGCCCTGATATCCCCAGTACTGCAGACCCAAGAACATGCTCCCCAGACCCTTCTGGCACCATGCAGGAAGGTCCTGCTTCCTCTGTGATCTCTTCACACCCTTTGCTTACTCCAACTCCAAAAGATGACACTTAACACTTGCCTCCCGCGGCAATTCCTTTGAAACCTACATCCTGCCTGGTCCCTTGTTCTCTCCCACCCAGCTGGAGCACCCTGCTTGGTGTGTTTTCCTCTGACCCCATGTGACCTCTCAGAAATGAAGTCAATGAGCAACTCCTCAAACCTCTACCAAATCACAACCACCCAACCACCCACTTCCTGCCTTCCTCAGATACTCTGGGCTGTGTGCCCCAGTACCCAGGAGTGCACACCTGCTTGAGGCCGCCCACCATTGTGCATTTTGTTTTTAACCCTCCCAACAATTGGCAAATGAATCAAAAGCTGTGGATTTTTAGAGGGTTTTTAGTTTTAGGGGTTGTTTTATTTTTTGTCTTTTTAAAGGAAAACTAGAGCTTTTTGACAGTTGGATTGGAGATGCTGGTTTGGGGCATGTGACTTTTTGCTTGTACAATAAAGATACATTGTCCTTGTGGGGACCCAGAGGCCATGCCTTTAGTAGGTGACCATTGCCATTCCCTGCTCTCCTCATCAGAGGCCCACATGCGTCATCAGTCTCCAGGCAAGGCCAGTCAAGGGCACAAGGCCACGTGAAAATGCTGAGGACTTCTCCGTGATTTCTAATCTGTTTAATAGTCTGTTTCATTGGGGCCACAGTGATGTCTGATTGGTGGTGCATCTGTGTGGCTTCTGGCCAGTTGCTGAGTTGAAGATGGGAAAAGGTTAGAAGGACTGCCTCTGTGCATCCCTCATCTTTGCAGCAGGCCAACCCCATCCCTGTCCTCCAGCCTCATTGTGGCCTCTGCTTGCCAAATGACTCTCTTGCTGTCCCTGGTGTGCATGCAGCTCATTGCTGGAGTTCGTTACCAGGGATAAGAGCACCTGGGTATCAAGGTGTGTCTTCCATCCTCAGAAAGGCTGGTCATGGGAACCCGAGCAGAATACATGGTGACTTTCCCAGGCACCTGGATCAAGTAGTTCACCAACCAACCATAGCTCAATTATGTCTCTGAGATCGGCACTGTTCCTCTACCCAATGTTGTGCTTTTAGAGTTTTTGGTTGTTTTACTCTGAATTATTAGTCCAAGATTTCAAAAAAAATAAATAATTAAAATCCAGAAGAAAGGAATATCTATGTAGACTTGGCTGGGTGGCTTTGAATGTGGTGTGTGTCACTACCAGGACCTTGCGAACTCTGTGGATTTGTGATTTCACAGCCCCATCCCTTTTGGGCCAGGGTTGGCTGTGTTCAGGTAATACTGTAACACCTCTTCCCAGTTCTCTCAGTGGCTCTTCCCGTAAAGTTCAGGTAGGCATCTGCTCCGGGTACCTCTTGCTGTATAGTTCATAAATAGGAAAATGATGGCCCAGCTACCAGGTTAGCTCCAGGCCACTTCTCCAGTCCCAACACACACACACACACACACACACACACACACACAGGCCACTTCTCCAGTCCCAACACACACACACACACACACACACACACACACACACACACACACACACACACACACACACGGAATTTATCCAGAAAGGCTCTCCTGTCCTATATGCCACTAGTGTCTGGGCTTTAGGGTCTAGGCTTCTTAATGAGCTATCCCTTCATCTTCTGGTTCCTGGGTAAACTGCAGGAGAGACCCCCAGCACTTAGAGGTCTATGAGGACTGAGTCAAGGGCTGGAGGGAAATTCAAAACTTCATGAGCACATGAAGTGATAAGATTAAGCCAAACTTGGGACCAGGAATAGAGAAAGCCCTTGGCTCAGTGGCAGTTGACCAGATGCCTGGGAAGATGCTGGCTTATATTCACTAATGCATAGCTGTGGGGTGTGAGGTTGGAAGTGACTGGACAAAGCCACTTGGTATACGGCACCTCCATCTCATGGAAGACAGCTCGAGAAAAAAGATGCCTTAATTTTTTTATTTTTATTTTTTGGTGCCAGGCCTGAGGCTTAAACTTAGGGCCTAGGCACTGTTCCTGAGTATTTGTGCTCCAAACTGGTACTTTATCATTTGAGCCACAGCTCTACTTCAGGCTTTTTGGTGGTTAACCAGAGATAAGTCTCACAGACTTTACTACCCAGGCTGGCTTCAGACTGGGCGATCCTCAGATGTCAGTATCCTGAGTGGCTGGGATTACTGACTTGAGCAACTGGCAACTGACTTTACATTGTTTTGATGTACAGAAAGATCTGGGCCTCCATGAAGTTAGAGAAGGAAAAATGGCCCCAGGCATGGCAGGTTGTAGCCCTGTCTGGAGTTAGAGCAGCAAGTGGCTCTAGAGGTAGGACTAAGCCCCAGAGGAAGGACCAGGGATAGATAGCTCCCCAGGGAGTGAGGACTCTATATATTAGAACCCTACCTCCAGTTTGAGTGAGGCCCCTGGCTCAGATTCACATCTGGCTTCTCATGTACAAGCCTCTCTTTATGGGAGGCAGAGAGGACACCCTAAAGTCAGTGCCCACAGAGATGGGATGTATAGGTACAGAACCTGAGACAGAATCTAGTGGTTCTGTTGGCCAAAAGCTATGGCCATAGTCCACTGAGCTGCTGCCTCTGTTTTCCCCACTGAACAGGAAGGCATGGACACCTTCCAGGCCTTGCTGTGCACACAGGATGCAGTAGGTTATATTGTCCTTTGTCACTGTTCCTTAGCTACATCAGATCTGGAACAGGGACTTGTGTCCCTCTTGGCCTTCTCCTACCTTGGAATATTCTCTCTCCCTGGGAGACACTGGGAGTCCAACAAGGCTCCCAGCAGAGGACATGAGGAAAGGAGCCTCCACCCACAATGCCATCTAGCCCCCACCCTCTTGATGCTACCCACACCAAGGGCCAGTGTGACTCACCACCAAGGGCTGCCAGAACAGACATGTGGGCTCTAGAGCCAAGTAAGAATGTCTCCATACCACCTTGGGCAGAACCAAGGTTCATCCTCATTTCTCCATTAATGCTTTGTGGACAGTTCTTGGCTATCTTTTCAGCTTGAGGAGGTGGTTGCTCAATATACAGAGAGCCCGTAGGATGTTTGGCCTTGGATGGCAGAACAGGGAGCCAGTGCTGCTGTTGGGCAGTGCTGACCCATCAGAGATTCTGAGGGAGGGGGAGGGGGGGAGAACGAGGAAGAGCTGCTTGGACCAGCTAGAGGGGACTAGGCCTGAGCTGCTTAACATCGGGGCTGACCCTGCAGGTCCGTATCTGTGTGAATGATGATGTGCCTGATGTTCTTGTGAACATTATCAATATTTGAACACTGAGATATAAAAGGCAAATGTGAAGAATTGCTTCAGGCCTGACCTACTTTTTAGGCCATCTGTCCTTGTCAGTCATCCGAGACGTCAAATCTATCAGGCTTTAGACATCCACCTTGCAACTAGGGAAGGGTTTGAACGGTGGTGAGTGCTGGTGCTGTGGATAGAGCAAGCTGCCAATGCAAGAGCAGCATCTGGTTTGGGCCAGAGTCAACCCCAGGTAGAGTAGGGTAGGGGCCTCACCCCCACTGCAGGGACAGACCAGCACTCCAGGAGACCAGGATGAGCCTCCTTAAAATCAAAGGAGGAGCTTCTCCTCTGGGTGGTCTTGTCCACTGCCATTGTTTCCCTGGGTGAGAGGAGCCCATGGATGTCCATCGTGACAGTGTCAAGTGGCGGCAGCTTGTCTGACAGATGCTCCCTGGTGGACATGTGAAGAGCAGGACCCAGGCCAGGTCAGAGATGCAGTAGGGCGTGGATTGGGAGAGATCAAAGATGCACAGGGCTATCCAGCGCATGCTCCCTGCCAAGAGGCAGCTGCTCTCTAAGTGTAGCACCAGTGCTACCCAAAAGCAGCATGAAATTAGTGTCAAGGGACCTGTTCTGAGTGGTATAGAGGAACTGTATGGGCTCTGGTCAACTGAGGCTGGAGTCCAGGAAGGCCATGGAGAGTAGAACTATCTGTCTACATCTAACATGACCATGTGGGTCAGGACTGTGTTATGGACACTTGGTTCCTGAGTTCAGGAAGGGCAGTGGCACCTGGCTCATCTGGTATTTTATCTAATATGACAATAGCCAAGCAAGAGCTATGCAGCACAAGTACTGGACACACTGAGAGTTTACTGACAGGTATGATGGCCCTTTTATAAAGCACCTGCTACAGGTGAGTACTCTAGCTTGACAGTGTCCTTCCATCTTTGTGCCATCTTTATGTAGTTATTGTGGCCCAGATGGAGCTCCAGACCCACACAAAATGGCATAATCATGGCTTCTTTCCCCATGTCCCTTCTCTCCAAGCCCAGGCTGCAGCCTCACATGGAAAACAACCCTTTTGACTCTAACAATGGATCAGAGAGGGCCCTGCCTTCCACAGAGATCTGTCAAATTTCTCCTGCTCACCTCCTTTCTGTGTCTACAACCAAAGATCTCACTTTTCCCCACTGTATGCTTAGAGCTCACACTGAGCAAACTGATAATAAGACCATTGAAGCAGAGTTTCTGGTTGCAAGATACACAGCCTGAAGCTGAGCTCAGACCAGAAAGCCAGCCCAGTGTCTGTCCTCTGTCCCCCAAAGCAAGAAGCAAATTGGAAAGCAGAAATGGTTAGGTTTTTCCAGGTCTCTGGTTTCTGAGTCTCATGGATCAGTGCTGCACAAGTACCTCTTCCTGGGGAACAGGTATTGGGGCAGAGGTAGTGTGTTGGGCCAATGCGGGTCTATGGACTACAGTTCGGTCCCTCCCAACTAATATGGCTTTGCCGAGTGACCTTGGGGAAATCTGAGCTCCTCCTTGCCAGTTCCAGTTCTCTGGGAGGACAAAGGATAAACTGGAATGGTAGCAAATCCTAGCGTAGCTCTTAGTCCAGCCCCTGTCCCTACCATCTAGGCCCTGCAGATATCAGATTCAATGGGTTACCTGCCTGATTTTCCCAAATATCTCTGGACAGTGAAGATGGGTCCACTGACATGGTAGTTCAATGATGAAGGCTTGTCCTTCCCCTAGGAAAAGGAACTATTACAAGAGAGGCAGCAAGGTCTCCCAAAATCAGTCAGCCCTGAGATCAACCCTCCTATTACCCAATTTGCTGCCTGTCTGACCTCATTTAAGGCAGACATCTAGGATCCAGAATTGGCCTCAAACCTACAAAAACAATGTATCTTTTTGCACTAGGAGAACTTCCTGGCCTCAGAGGCCTGCCAGCCCAGGTTATACCCAATTCTATTTAGGGGGAGGGGGAAGCTTGGCTAACATTTAGTGGGTTTTCATGCCTCAACCAGTGGAACTCCCAAAAGCTGGGCTTTCAAAAGCCCCACAGTGTGCTTTGCTTTTTTTTTTTTTTTTCTTCTTCCCTGCTTTTCTTTTTTCTTTCTCTTTTTCTGTAATACGCTTCTAGAGACAAAACACTTTTCCCTGAAGCTTGGGGGGCTTACCCTGGCACCTCTGCCTCCTCAGCAAAGCCGTGGGGCCTGCACACTAACTCTGGGGACGCTGCCCAGTTACCCCGGGCCAAATCGGCCTTCCTCTCCGAACTGCTGCCTGTGTCTGTCCCTCCCTGCACACTGATGACTTTTGCTTAAGTGTGGTAGTGTGAACGGTGTGTGCTGTTCTGCCTAACCCTGTGGTCTTGTGTCGTTTGTTTTTCCCTTACAGGGTCAGCCCTGAAGCGTCTCTGCCTAGGCAAAGAACACAGCAGTAGTAATTATCTGGGTTTTTTACCCCCTTTGCCCCCTCTCATTGCATGGGCTTTATTGTGGCTAGTGCGCATCAGGGCCTCCTGTGGCCGGGCAGCGTGGCCTGCTCTGTGCCCACCCTGCCGGGCTCTGCTTTGCTTCTGCCTGGTGGGACAGCTGCCCTTGGCTTCCCTTTGTGTCTCCATGGCTCCTAGAGTTTGTGCGGTCTCACCCGTTCACATCTAACAGGATTGCCCTTCTCTGGAATGTCCACAAATTCCCATTCATTAATTGGCTCCTTTTCCAAAATCATAGGCGTCAGTATTTCCTTGAAGTGCTAAAGATGAGTGCTTTCCCCGAGGAGAGATACCAGGACCGAATGGGTATTAGTCTACCTGGGCCACTCACCCTCCCTCCCTCTCTCTCTCCCTCTCTCTCTTTCTCTCTCTCTTTCGCTCTCTTTCTCTCTCTCTTTCTCTTCTCGCTTTCCCTCCTCTCTCTTCACTCCTCTTTCTCTCCTATCTTTTTCTTTCCTCTTTTTTTTTTTTTTAAAATTTCTTTTCTGAGCTAAAAATTACATGTAGAAATAGCTCTTTGTTTGTAAAAATCTCATCACTAATCTTTAATTGTTTGTGTCTGTGCTCTGTCATTGCTACCCACTAAAGTTCACTACATTTTGGAACAGCTTGTTTGAAGAGATGGTCATTAGCTGGGATTATTTTTAATTACTGTTCTTTTTATCAGTGAAGAAAAATTTTAATTGGCCTATTCAAAATTGTCAGCCAGAACTTATGTGTCTACAGGGTGGAGGGATGGGGATTCAGTTATAAAATTTACAAGTCGTCTGTTGGCCATTGAAAAATAAAGAGGAAAGAGATTGGATTGAAGAACCAAGCACTCTAGTTATAGAGCAGCTCCCAGCAAACCTTCCTCCCTCCCCACCCATGCCAGGGCCCTAGATTGTGGTACCTTTTATTGATAACCTTCCCCAAATACTCCAATAAGAAAACATGCCATTTCTTGGTTTTGAGTTCCAAACAACCAAGATAAGTAAATTCACAGAACTGTTAATATCAATACAGCCTGTCCAGGAAAGGGGGTGCAGGCTGTCAGTGGCCTCTGTACATTGCATACTCTGCAAGGTATCCTAGCATCTTCGCAACATGCTGAGGATGCAGAGGTCAGAGAAAGATGGAGGAATCTGACCCTATTCCCTGGGACGCCTCCTCTCATGTGTGTCCAGCTGTGTCAGGAGTCTCCCACACTCACACGTGAGTCTGGTGGGATGGGCAGCAGTGGGGAACGTGGATTTTTAACAAGGGATAGCCCCTAGCCTGGCTTATGACATGGGTGACAGCCACCTGACATAGCTCAGTCTTTCTCTGCCCATGTAGTGTTCTACCATGTCTAAAACTGGGCTGTAAAGCCCCTCGATCCAGACCGCCTCTTGAAGCAAGGTGTTGCCTGGCCAAAGTGAGGCCCTTGTCTCGGCCATCACATAAGAATAACTGCAGCCAGCCCACCAGTGGTGCTGAGCGAATGTGTGGCATCACCAATCCTGGTCTATGTGACTCCCCAGGGTCCTCCACCAGCAGCCTGGCCCCAGGCCCCGAGCCTGGTCCCCAGTCCACCCTGCACGTCCAGGCACAGGTGAACAACAGCAACAACAAGAAAGGTACCTTCACCGATGACCTGCATAAGCTGGTGGATGAGTGGACAACCAAGACGGTGGGGGCAGCCCAGCTGAAGCCAACACTCAACCAGCTGAAGCAGACGCAGAAGCTGCATGACATGGAGGTTCCTGGCGAGACTCGGGCTGTGAGTACAGGGCGGACACCAGCCTCCTCCCGGGACAGGATGGCGGGTGTGGTGGCAATGGAGCCTTGTTGGAATCCTGCATGCCACATGCAGATTGTCCTAAGCCCTGTGTGTCCATAGTCTGAGTTCATCTTTACCACAGCCCACCTTCCTGTTTCAAGTAGCTGTGCCATTTTATATTCCTACCAGCAGCACATGAGGTCTCAGTTTCCCTAAATCTTCAGCAACACTAGTTATCCTCTGGGTTTTGGACAGTGGCCTGTCTTGTGAAGTGTGAGGTGGTATCCTGTGGTTTTGATTTGCATTCCCTTAATAATTAGTGATATGGAGTATCTTTTCAGGTGCTTATTTGTCCACTTGCCTATTTTCTTTAGAGAAATGTCTGTTTATGACCTTTGTCCATTTTTGAGTCAGGATGATTTGTTGTTGTTGTTGTTGTTGTTGTTGTTTGTCAGTCATAGAGCTTGAACTCAGGGCCTGAGCTTTTTCACTCAAGGCTAGTGCTCTACTACTTTAAGCCACAGCACCACTTCCTGTTTTCTGGTGATTAATTGGAGATAATGTCTCACAGACTCTTGCACAGCCTGGCTTTGAACTGTGATCCTCAGATTTTAGCTTCCTGAGTGGCTAGGATTACAGGTGTGAACCACTGGTGCCCAACAGGTTTTTGTTGTTGTTGCTGAGTTTTAGAAATTCTCTGTATATTCAGGACATTAATCCTTTGTGAAATAGATGATTTGAAAATATTTCTTACATTGTATCAGTTGCCTTTTTACTTTGTTGATAGTGCTCTTTAATGAATAAAGGTATTAATTTTGTCTTTTTAGCTTTTGTTGCTTGCACCTTTGGTGGCATACCCAAGAAATAACTACCAAGACAAATTTTATGAAGTTTTTCCCTTTAATGTTTTCTTCTAGGAGTTTCATAATTTCAACTTGTGTATGTGTGCATATATGTGTACACCAGTCCTGGAGCTTGAACTCAGGACCTGGGAGCTGTCCCTGAACTCTTTTGCTCATGGATAGTACTCTACCACTTGAACCACAACTTCACTTCTGGCTTTTTGGTAGTTAATTGGAGTCAAGTCTTAAGGACTTTCCTGTCCAGGCTGGCTTTGAACCTTGAGATCTCAGATCTCAGACTCTTGAACAGACATGAGCTCCTGCACCTGCTCATTTTATCTTTTATATTAGTATCTTCAGTCGACTTTGAGTTAATTTTTGGATATATATTATTAGACAAAGATCAAACTTCATTCCTTCACATGTGGATATCCAGTTCCCCAGTCCCACTTGTTAAAAAGGTGATCCTGCAGGGCAGTGATGGCTCAAGCTGTAATCCTAGCTATTCAAGAGGCTGATACCTGAGGATCAAGGTTTGATCCAGCCAAGTCATGAAAGTCCATGAGAATCTCATCTCCAGTTAACCACCAAAAGGGAAAAAAAGAAAGCCAAAAGTGGAGCTGTGGCTCAGGTAGTAGAGTGCTAGCCTTGAGCAAAAAAAACAAAAGTTACCACCCATACCCTGAGTTCAAGCCACAGGACTGGCACAAAAATAAACAACAACCCCCCTAAAAAAAAAAAAATCCATTCCTTCCTCCATTGAGTATGATTGGGACAGGGGAATGTGGCTCAGTGGTAGAGAGAATGCATAAGGCCCTGGGCTCAATCCTCAACACCATGAAGAAAATAAAAATTCATTTGACCATACATATAAAGGTACTTCTGGGCTGCCTCCTCTCTCATTGGTCCATCCATCTGCTTTTATACCAGCTCTACATTATTTCAATTATTGTATCTTTGTAGTAAATTTTGAGGTTAGAAAGTATGGGTTTTTTCCCTTTTTAAAAGTTTGAAGCACCTTGAAGATATTTGTATGTTTGATTTGTATAATTTTTTTTCCTGTTTCTGAACCAAAAGGTTATTGAGATTTTGACACAGAATTGCATTGAACCTATACCTTATTTCATGTAGTGTTTTTATATTTTAAGAATAGTTAGCCGGGCGCCAGTGGCTCACACCTGTAATCCTAGATACTCAGGAGGCTGAGATCTGAGGATCACAGTTCAAAGCCAGCCCATGCAGGAAAGTCTGTGAGACTCTTATCTCCAATAAACCACTAGAAAAACTGGAAGTGGCACTGTAGCTCAAGCAGTGGAGCGCTCGCCTTGAGCTGAAGAGCACAGGGACAGCGCCCAAGCCCAGAGTTCAAGCCCCACGACAGACCAAAAAAAAAAAAAAAGAATAGATGTTTTTGTTTTGGGCAGTCCTGGGGTTTGAGTTCAGGATGTCAGGCTTGCTAGGCAGCCATGCCTCCAGCCCTTTTTGTTTTAGTTATTTTTCACATCGGATCTCATTTTGGGCCAGTCTAGATCACAGTCCTCCTAATTATTCCTCCCTCATAGCTAATATGATAGATACATCCTATATTATGCCCTGTTATTTTTGTTCAGATGGAGTCTAAGGAACTTCTTGCTCAGGCTAGCCTAAAACTGTAATCCTCTTGGATCTCCACCTTTTGACTAACTGGGATTACAGGTGTAAGCCAACATAACTGATTTAACCATACCTGACTTATCTTCCAGTTCTTGACCATGAGACTTCTTTCAACTTATTTATATCTTTAATTTCTTTTTTTTTTTTTCAGTCGTGGGGCCTGAACTCTGGGCCTGGGCGCTGTCCCTCAGCTCTTCAGCTCAAGGCTAGCGCTCTACCACTTGAGCCACAGCGCCACTTCCGGCTTTTTCTTTTTGCTTATGTGGTGCTGAGGAATCGAACCCAGGGCCTTGAGCATGCAAGGCAAGCTCTCTACCACTGAGCCACCTTCCCAGCCCCTCTTTAATTTCTTAAACTTCCTTTTTTGTCAAAAATATTTCATTGTATGGACATAATGTCCATCTGTTCATTAAATGATGGACACTTGATTTAGTTCCACCTTCCAGCTATTGTAAATATGCTGCTATGAACATCAGTAAACAAATATCTGTTTGAAGCCCTACTACTTTCAACTCTGAAGTTTGAACTCAAGGCCTTGAGTTGCCAATGTGGTGCTCTACCATTTGATCAACTATTTCAGCCCTGTTTTATGCTGGTTATTTTTGAGATAGGGTTGTGTGAACTATTATGCCTGAGCTAGCCTTATACCTTTATCTTTCCACTCAGTCTCCTGAGTAGTCCTGCTTTTAGTTCTTTTGGGTATACATACAGGAGTGGAACTTCAGGCAAGACCATATAATGCTACATTCAACTTTTTTGAGAAATTGCCATTCTGTTTTCCAATAGCAGGCACATAATTTTGCATTACCAAAGGCAGTGAACGTGTACAAAAGCATCAAAAGAGCCAGGTACCTATGGCTTATGCCTGTAATCCTAGCTACCTCAGGAGGCTGGGATCTGAGGATCACATTTGGAAGCCAGACTAGGCAGGAAAGCCTGTGAAACTCTTATCTCCAATTAACCACCAAAAAGCCAGAAATGGAGCTGTGACTCAAATGTTAACATGCTAGCCTGGAGCAAAAAAGCTCAGAGTACATCACCATTATAATAACAATATAAAAAAAAATGCTTAAAGCTCAGGGACTGTGCCCAGTGCCTGAGTTCAAGCTCCCGGACCAGAACACAACAAACAGAGAGAGACAGAGAGAGAGAGAGACAGAATCAAAAGGAATAAAAATTCCTAGGAATCAATTTAAGTAGAAGTTGAAGGCCTATGTACTGATTACAGCACTGCCAAAAGAAAATTTTTTTATTGTGAAAATACTGTACAGAGGGGTTACAATTACATGGGCAAGATAAAAATGAGTGCATTTCTTATCAAGCATTGTAGCCTCCTCCTTTGTTTCCCCTTCCCATCCCTTCCCATCCTCCCCCCCCCAAAAGAAAATTTTTAAAGAACTAAATAAACAGAAGGGCATCCACATTCATGAACTGGAAGGCAATATTGCCAAAACATTGTACCAACCAAAGTAACGTAAAAATCAATACAATTGCCACAAGGACGCCAATTTCTCTTCCTCCTCATCAATGCTCAATGCTCCCTTTAATAAAAAAAAAAAAACTCATCTTAATGGTTGTATTTTATTGGCTGTTCGTATACCTATCTTCTTTGGAGAAATGTCCATTCAAGATTTTTGCTCATTTTTAAAATTTAGCTTGCTGAGTTTGCATTAGAAAGTTATAGGGATTCTTTATAGTGGCCAGTAACTCCTCTATGATCTGGAAATGATGTCATTTAGTAGGCTCTCTTGCTTTTTTTTTTGTCTGAAACCGGGACTCAAACTCTGTATCTGACATTCTATACTCATTGGCCAGTGCTCTACCTCCTGAGCCATGCCTCCAACCCCCACCCCTTGTACTTCTTGATTATACCCTTTGATACTCAAAGTTTTTAAAAATAAAAATGTAGGGGCTGGGAAGGTGGTTCAATGGTAGAGTGCTTGCCTTGCATGCATGAGGTCCTGGGCTCGATTCCTCAGCATTAAATAAGCAGAAAAAGCCAGAAGTGGCGCTGTGGCTCAAGTGGTAGAGCGCTAGCCTTGAGCTGAAGAGCTAAGGGACAGGGCCCAGGCCCAGAGTTCAGGCCCCACAACCAGGAACAAAAAAAGTATATAATCTGTCCTATCTGTTTCCCATGTTTGCCTATACTTTTTGTGTTACATCCATAAATTCATTTCCAAATGTAGTGTCTCTTACATTTAGATCTTCTGTCTAGCTTGAGTTATCCTTTATGTATGATTTAAGGTAAAGATCCAGCTTCATACTTGACCATAAGCAATTTTTTCTAGTTTTCTCAGCAGAATTTGTTGAAAAGACTGTTCTTTACCCCACTGAAAGGCCTTCACATCTTTGTTAAAAATCAATTGGCCAGGGGCTGGGAAGTTGGCTCAGTGGTAGAGCGCTTGCCTTGCATGCCTGAGGCCCTGGGTTCGATTCCTCAGCACCATATAAGCAAAAAGAAAAAAGCCGGAATTGGCGCTGTGGCTCAAGTGGTAGAGTGCTAGCCTTGAGCTGAAGAGCTGAGGGACAGCACTCAGGCCCAGAGTTCAGGCCCCACGACTGGACCCAAAAAAAAAAAAAAAATCAATTGGCCATGTAATAAAAAAGCTTGAAATTCACTGTTTCATTTGTCTACATGCATATCCTTTTGCCAGTATCTTACTGCATTGATTCCTGTAGTTTTCATGTACATTTTAAAATCAGGAAGTGTGAATCCTCTAACCCTATTCTTCCTTTTCTAAATTTTTTCCCTATTTGGAGCCCCTTGAGAATCCAAATGACTTTTCAGACCTTTTTTTTAAAATTACATTTATTTCTTGAAAAAACTGCTACTGAAATTTTGGTAGGGATTACATTAATCTTAAGATTATTTTGGGTGCTATAGACATTTTAACAATAAATCTTTAACAAGTCTTCAAGTCTGTTAATATTGATGATTGTCTTGTTTTTCCTTGTCTTGAATTTCTTTTGGCAATGTCATTATTGTTGCTTGTGGCAATCCTAGGATTTGAATTTGGGACCCTGTACTTGCTTGGCAAATGATCTATCACTTGGGCTATGCCCCCAGCCCTGATTTGTCAATATTTTATAGTTTTCAGTATACAAATAGTTCCTTAGTTAAACTTATTCCTAGACATTTTGACTTTTTTATGCTATTTTAAATGCAATTGATTCCTTAATTTCCTGTTTCAGCAATGAACACATTGCTAACGTGCAGAAAGGCAGCTGAGTTTTCATGTTGATTTCTGTATCCTGCAGTTTCCCCTGATTAGCTTCCACAGTGGGTTTGTGCACTCCTTAAGGTTAACTATATCATCTTTGATCAGAGAGATATGTACCTCTTTCCTTTCCAATTTGGATGCCTTCCTTCTCTTGCTTTTTCTTGCCTAATCACTCTAGCTGTACCTCCAATACTGTGTTGAATAGAACTGATGAAAATAAGTATCCTTCTCCTGTTTTCAATCCTAGAGGAAACATTTAAATCTTTTGCCATTAACCATGATGCTTGGCATGGATTTTTCACACATGACTTTTATTTATCATTTTGTAAAGTTTTCTTACATTCCTAATTTATTGGTTTTGTTAAATGTTTATTTTTCTGCATCATTGAGATGATCACTTGTTTTCTTCTTTCATTCTGTTAATGTATGTTATACTGATGGGTTTTTACATATTGAACTGTGAAGGAAAACCATTGAAAACACAAGTTGGCATTTAGAAAAGATAAAACTGACCAAGTTTTAACTACCAAGTTAAGTATCTTAGATAAAATGGAAAAATTCCTAGAAATACAAACTCTTTCATTCCTGAAATAGATCTCACCCGGTCATTGTACATAATCTTTCTAATCTGCTCCTGAATTCAGTTTGCAAATCTTGAAACCCTTTGATAGTTTTTCCCTGCCTGGAGTCCACCTGAATTCCTGGAATATGTAATCATGTCTTTTTGAAATTTGGTAATTTTCTGGCCATTATATCTTCCAATATTATTTTTTATATGTGTGTTGGTGCCAGTACTAGGGCTTGAACTCAAGGTCTATGTGCTGTCCCTTAGCTTTTTCACACTAGTGCTCTACCACTTAAGTCACACCTCTACTTGCAGTGTTTTGGTGTTTAATTGGAGATAAGAGTCTCACAAACTTTCATGCCTGGGCTAGTTTCAAACCTTGATCCTTAGATGTCGGCCTCCTGAGTAGCTAGGATTAACAGGTGTGAACCAGTGGGTGCGCAGCTCGGTATTTTTCTCCCTAAATCCTCCTTTCTCTCTTTTCCTTATACGACCTCCATAATAGATTCATCAATCCACTCAGTGGAGCACACTTCAGACCCCTTAGGCACTGTTCACCTGTCTGCATTCTCTTTCTGTTCCTCAAACTTGATCATTTCAATTGTGCTATCTCAAGTTTTCTGGCTCAAAGGGCCCAACAGTAGCTTTAGTGAAGGATTACATGAAGGTGATGCTTTCCAGCCCCATGTTTATCCTCCTGGTGGGTTGAGAGACCACTTCTTCCTAAGGGTGGAGAAACTTTGGGGATTCGAAGGGCAGCATATTGCAGCCCCTTGTACCTTTTTCTTCTTCTCTGTATCTCATAGATGACTACATCTCGAGCAGGAGTGGGAATGCCATGTCTGACCCCAGTGCCTGGCCCTCTGTCCACCTCAGCCATTCCTGGAGCCACCCCTGCCCTGCCTGTGCCCACACCAGGTATTGTCCACTCCAGCCTCCCAGCTCCCTCCATTTCACTGCCTCTAGGTCAGTTCAGAGGTCTGCTTCCAGCTCCAGTGTCCTAGAGGCCCTGAGCAGCCCAGAGGAATATCCTGGGAGTTGGATTAGCCAACCTCACACAGGTACCTAGGTTGCCAATGTTTATGAGGCCACCTGTCATCAGCACAGTGGGGCCTGTGCTGCACATCGCCTAGTCCTCTGCCCTCCCCTATGTGGGCACATGGTCCAGCCACCAGGGGGCGCATTGAGCAGCAAGACACTTCCCTGCTGCTTCAGACCCTGAGTTCTCTCTTAGGTCTGCTCCATTTGTTTACACATGCAGCCTTCACACCCACTGCCTGTTCTTGAGTTGAAGGTTAGAAGCGTGCAGAAGTATAATGACATCACTCTGCAGAAGTGCAGTATCTTGAATTCCAGATATTCTGTTCCCTGGTGGAAAAAAAGACATGTTTTTGTTTTTTGTTTTTTTTTAAATCATTTATCCCAAAAGATCTGATTCATTTGCAGTGGATTCATGAGGAGATGTATGTCTCTCCATATGAAGTTGAAGAGATTGAATGTTTTATAGATCTTAAGCTGAAGCCTGATCTTTAGTTTTCTATTGTAAACATTATTTAAAAGTGAAAATTGATGTGCTCAGAGGTGGCTCAGTGGTAGAGTGCTAGCCTTGCATGCATGAGGCCCTAGGTTCCATTCCTCAGCACCACATAAGCAGAAGCCGGAAGTGACGCTGTGGCTCAAGTGATAGAGCACTAGCCTTGAGCTGAAGAGCTGAAGGACAGCACCAGGCCCAGAGTTCAGGCTCCATGGCCAACCAAAAAAAAAAAGTGAAAATTGAAAGCTGGGTACTGGTACTCAGGAGGCTGAGATCTGAGAATCATAGTTCAAAGCTGGTCCAGGCAGGAAAGTTCATGCAACTCTTAACTAATCACAGAAAGAGCCAGAAGTGGCACTGTGGCTCAAGTGGTAAAGTACTAGCCTTGAGTAAAAGGAGCTCAGGGGCAGTGCTCAGGCTCTACATTCAAACATGGTGGGGGGAGGGGAGGAGCAGCAGGGATTAAATCAAAGACCTTGGTTGATTAATGAGATGCAAGAGCTAGATGAGCCCAGCTTTTAATACTCAATGGAACAAGGTCTCCCTGGGCTTGTTTATGACCAAGAAGGACAGGTGACAGGCCAAAGGGAGACATTTGCAGAAGTTGGTCTCCCAGTAAGGAATATCCACAGCTTTTTTGGAGCCTGTCACAAATGCCAAGTAAACAAATGCTGGGTAGCTAGCAAGCGATTGTGAGCCATAACAGAGATGGGCACCACTTCTCAGCTCAGGGGTCCCACTTCGCTTCTTTTTCCACAATTTTTACAGAACCCTATGATCTGTCTACCCCAACTTATAAATCTCTCCAGACCACTCTAAGGCTAACCTGAAGGGACAATCTTTCCAGAAATGTCCATGGACACAGCCCAGATGGACACAAAATGGCCTAGGTAGAAATGAAAGCTCCATGGACAGATAATCTGTATCCCCTCTGGCAGGCAGACTGCCTGAGGCTGCCCCAGCAGGAATTACCCAGTTCTGCAGCTAAATTATTTTGGTTTCAACATACTATTCCATCATTTGAGTTAAGATTGAATTTTCTGAAGGACTCTGCAGAATCTATTGCCTGGATACAATACTGCAATCAGAGATGTAGGTTCTGTGTTTGTGAGAAACATGTGGGCCTGTGTCTTTATGAAGTGTAGCTCACTCTCTCCCTTTTCCCCACGCCTAAGATGAAGCTAGTGGCAGGGGATCCCGCAGAGACTATATTTGTGAGGGAGAAAAAAAATTAAATTTTTCTTGCTTCAAAACACTGTAAAACAACATCTTTTTCTTACCCTGTGTTCACTGGTGAGTCTTGTAGAAGGCAGATGCAGTAGACCTGTCCTGGGCTCTATATTAAGCCTAAAGCCATGCTGCCTCCATCCTGGAGCTGTGGGGCTTGTGGGACCAGGACCCAGGCCTCTGATGATGCCACTTGATCCACAGCACGCCACCTACCAGCTGTGGCCTGCGGCCCTAGGACACCGAGCCCGGCGGCTGGCCCTAACTCTGACTAGGCTGTTGTTTGGACAGTGACTCCGCACTTGTTCCTTTTAGAAGTGCAGGTGGAGGGGGTGAGTTTCCTGCTCAAGTAAACTGCATCTCCAATGCATCCCTATTGGCACTGGCTCCGAGAGAGCCTAGCTTAGAGGATTCCCTGTGACTCCTGGGCCTCCCTTTTCCCTCCTGGTGGGCTGAGCTCAGGCCAGGAAAGGGGCTCCCCTTTCAAGCTCTTAAGCTTATTGAAAGGAAGATTGGTGGCTAGGGGCACCATGGGTCACATGCAGTGCGCTGGTCTTTCTGATTGTCAGAAGGAAGAGGACCTGCCTGTGTGGTCCCAGTCAGACCTCCCCCCCCACACACACACACTGATGGTCTCATCCACATGCATCATGGGTCTGACCCTGATCCTGGGCAGCAGGAGGTCTGATGCATCTCTGGGCTTTCCAACTAGGACTGGTCACCTCTTGTTTGAGAACAGTCTTGGTTCATTGCAGTTCCAGGCTTCCTACCTCTCTGCTCAGGGGTGACAGGGTGACAAGGGTCACCTGTTCCAGAGGCAGCACTGACCTTGCAGCTAAATTTTGATGCCTTGTCTCACCACTGACCCTGGGCAGAGGCAGGGGAAGTTCTCTCCAGTGCTTCAAAGAGCCAGAGGGTAGCTTCCTCCCAGATATCCTAGCTGAGCAGGAGCTGGGCATCCCTCTCTGAGTGCCATTCTGAGTGCCTGTATGGTTATAGATGTCATGTACTCTGCTCAGGACAAGGCTCAGCAACAGGGCATGGTCATGACGGTCAGGCTGGCCAAGTTCCAGCCTTGATCTCCACCTTCTGGGAAAGTAGACCAGATGCTTAGACAGGGCCACGTGTAAGAGCATCAGGGGCCAGCTTCTAGTGAGAAATCGGTGCTCCAGAGGCCCATAATGAGCTCTGGCAGTTTTGTTTTCTAGATCCTGAGAGTGAGAAACCTGATTGACCCGGCCCAGATGCCAGGCCCGCATCACATCGTCCCAGCGGAGAAGTGACAGACCTTCAGGGCTGGCCCACTGCTCTAGTCCAGTTCACGCTGTTTTGTAACCACTTTCTAAGCATTTTTTATTCACAATTGGAAACACAAATGTAATGCAAGAATAAAAAAAATATTTTGGGGGAGAAAGGACTGTGGTTTTTTGGGTTTTTTTTTTTCAAACTTTCTCCTCTCTGATCCTCCAGGTGATGTGAATGTGAAGGAGGGGGGGTAAGGGCATTCCCAGGAGCCTGTACACACAGGAAAGACTGTCAGGCTGGAAGCTCATCTCCAAGCACCCCCCTCCCAGGCACAGATTTAAGGTTCCCTTTGCTGACATGATTCCATGATATACAGCTTGCCCTCTGGTCTTTGGAGGCCAAAGTCACCCACCTCCCAGCACAGGGCCTGCATTCATGGAGGCCAGAAATAACCTTCCTTCCAGATTTCACAGGCACCAGCAGGACAGGGACCATCCAGTCTGGAGTCTGCGCCCTCCTGGGGATGGAGGACACATCTGAAAATGCAGGAAAACTAGCAATGGCCTTGGTGAGAAAATGTGCCACACATGGGAACATCACAGCCTGGCCCAGCCTATAGAAACAAAGGACCTGGGGTACAATTTGGGGTTCAATATAATAAAATGGGAGAAAGCTACAAGTTCATGTTCATTAATCTCTAACTGCAATATAGCACTTCCTCCGGTGACGGGTGGAGTGGGTTTTAGCAGCTCTTGGACTTGGTCACCAATAGAGATCACACATACCACTATGAACTTAAGGTGGTTGCCAGCACCTCAGAGTGTCATGTAAAGTCATTCTGACAAAGTGCCCAGCCTCCAGGAATTAAAGGGCATCTTATTGATGGGTTAGTCAATGCTCCAGGATCTGGGAAAATCCAGCAATCCAAAAAAACCATTCCCTAAGGATTCTGAGCAAAGTAAGATTACCCTGTAACTTTGTTTCCAGCTCATAAGTAGCTATGTGGCCTAGCCAGGGAGACCAGCTTTGATTTTCATTCTTTCTCTGGGAAACAAAAGCAAATGATGTCTCTGCTTGAACTGACATAGTTGAGAAATCCAAGCTGAAGAGGGCTGTATAGTAGAATGGATAATGAGACTTCTGTTGGCTTTAGGCAACCACCATCTTGTTATAAGCTGGCATGACCTCTGTATGCACAAGAAGAGAGATTGCTTAGAACTCTTTTCTTCTTACAGGGCACTATTAGTATCCACAGGTGTGTGTGTGTGTGTGTGTGTGTGTGTGTGTGTGTGTGTGTGTGTGTGTGTGTGTGTGTGTGTGTGTGTGTGTGTGTGTGTGTGTGTGTGTGTGTGTGTGTGTGTGTGTGTGTGTGTGTGTGTGTGTGTGTACTGGGTTTGAACTTTGGGCCTCAGTACTGTCACTTAATTTTTTCAATCAAAACTGACCTTCTACCCCTTAAACTACTGCTTTATTTCTGGACTTTCTTGGTGCTTAAATGGAGACAAGAGTCTCATAGACTCCTGCTCAAGCTGGCTTCAAACTTGGATCCTCAGATCTCAACCTGAATAGCTAGGATTATAGTTGTGAGCCACCCACTAGGGGCCCACACTTAAGATTGCATTTAACCTTCATTGTTGGTACTTGTCTACTTGTATCCACCTTAAAACTAAAATTAAGTGAATACTTCTGGCAAGAAACTCCTGAATCTCACATAGGCTTGTGAGGGGGACCTAATGCAACTTGTCCTAGCCCTAAAGGCTCAGAATCATGGACAGCAGGGCAGTGATAAGTGATGAGCCACCAGGCCAGTGGCAAAAAGACTGGTTGTTCACACAGGGCAAAAAGCCACAGAGCTCTTAGTTTAGAACCCAAACACACAGAACTACAGAAAAAAAGCAAATAACAGGAGAAAAATGAAAATCAAATAGGTGAGAGACCATATTTTATAATGTTATATAAATGGTTTAATCACTTGAAAGAAACCCATCAGATTGGATTTAAATGCCTCCATAAATATAATGACACATGGGTTAAGCTAATAAGATGAACACAGATATACCATCCTAACTTTAATTGAAGGGAAGCTGAGGCGGCTCTGTGTTATCATACAGTGCAGGTTTCAGAGCAATGTTTATCATAATGACAAAGGGCAAATTGGTTCTACATGTCTATATCTCTAGTAACAGATACATGTTGATAAAACTGTAAAGAAAAATCCATCACAATAGGTATTTCAATATCCCTCTTTCCATAACAGAGCAAATTGCAGACAACCATTGTCCCTTATAGTGGTTAAATTGTCTATTACAAGACTCTGGTTCTGTGTGTGTGTCTGTGTGTGTGTGTGTGTGTGTGTGTCTGTGTGTGTGTGTGCCAATGCACACTCCTGTGCATGTGCACCTGAGTACATACAATCTTGTACTGGCCCTTGAACTCAGAGACTGGGTGTTATTCCTTAGCTTTTTTTGCTCAAGGCTGGTGCTGTTCCATTTGAGCCACAACTCCATTTCTGGCTTTTTGGTAATTAATTGGAGATAAATGTCTCACAGACTTTCCTGCCTGGACTGGCTTCCAACTGCAATCCTTAGCTCACAGCCTCTTGAGTAGCTAGGATTATTAGGTGTGAGTCACTGGCATGTGGCTTGCTCCACTTTTTGATATATGATCACTGACAGCTTTAAAACCTCACCTCCCTCTCTTTCTCTTCTACGCTGTGTTTGGACAAGCCAAGAAGAAGGCCTGAATACCCATTGGCAACAACCCAGAAACTACATCAAGCAGTTCCTTCCCACATACAGTGTCTTCAACCTAGACCACCATGAAAGTCCCAGACTGGTCTCCTCCTTGTTTCCTTGGTCCATTTTGGGCCAGCTTAGATGCTATCCTCCTGTCCCCCAAAAGCATTATGTGAATAACAAAACTTTCTGTCCCTTGGAGCTGGTGGTGGTGGTGGTAGAGGAGGTGTGTCCATCACTCTCAACACTTGGATCACATTTTGGGTAATCTATCCTGTTTCTGGAGAATGACCTCAGCAGTCGCAACAATATAAAAGATTTGAACATTATTATTCACCAACTTAGTCCAATTGACATTTCTAGAATGCTTCACCCATAGCAGAAACATTTATACATTCTTTTCACTTTTTTTTGGGGGGGGGGGGTCCAGTCATGGGGCCTGAACTCTGGGCCTGGGCACTGTCCCTCAGCTCTTCAGCTCAAGGCTAACACTCTACCACTTGAGCCACAGTGCCACTTCTGGCTTTTTTTCCCTGCTTATATGGTGCTGAGGAATCGAACCCAGGGCCTCAAGCATGCAAGGCAAGCATTCTACCACTGAGCCACCTTCCCAGCCCTGTCTTTCTTTCCTTTCCTTTCTTGATCTTTTTTATTTTGCTTGCTTGTTTTTGGTGCTAGAGATTGAACCCAGAGACTCACACATACTAGGCAAGCCCTCTACCCCTGAGCTACACCTTCAACATTCCATTTATGTTCATATACGTATCAAGATAGATCTTATTCTAGGCCATACAAATGAGTGGCAATACATTTTAAGAGATGCAAGTCACACAAGCAATTCTCTGAACAAAATGGAATTAAATCTGAAATCGACAGTGCTATAAAACAGCCATCTTTGGAGGTGACATATCACACTTTTAAGTAACCTATACATTGAAAAAAGGAAATAAGCCATGCACTGGTGGCTCATTCCTGCAATCCTAGCTACTCAGGAGGCAAAGAACTGAGGATCATGGTTCAAAGCCAGCCCCCGCAGCAAAGTCCATGAGATTCTTCTGTCCAATTAACTACCAGAAAACTGAAAGTGGCACTGTGGCTCAAAGTGGTAGCCTTGAGCAAAATCGTTCAGGAACAGCACCCAGACCCCAAATTCAAGCCCCACAGCTGACACACAAAAAGGAAATTAGACAAAGAATAAATGAAAATGAAAACAAAAAAATCAATTGAAATTTATGGGGTACTGCTAAAGCAATACTTGGGGGACATTTCTATCATTTAAAAACTATATTAGAGAAAAAGAAATCAATGACTTCATCCTTCACCTTAAGAAAATATCAACAAATGAAATTAAATCCAAAGTACACAGAAGTCACTGCACAGGAGAAATCAATAGAACGTAAGACAGGAAAACAGGAAATGGATGAAATTAAAAGCTGGTACTTGAGAAAATTAATAAAACTGAAAACTCATTAGCTGAGGCTCAGCGAGAGAAAAGAAAGGGCACAGAAGAAAAATACCACGAGAGGTGACAGCAAGACTACCTGCAGATGCTAACAGGACAATAAGGAAATATGAAAAAAACAACTTAGATATGAAGTGAACTAATTGCTTAAAAGATGCATGTTAACAAAGTTGACTCAAGCTGAAATAGGGTAATACCTATTCATACATATAAAATAGGCCTACAGGGGCTGGGAAGGTAGCTCAATGGTAGAGTGTTTGCCTTACATGTATGAGGCCCTGGGCTTGATTTCTCAATACCAGATAAACAGAAAAATCTGGAAGTGGTGCTGTGGCTCAGGTGGTAGTACACTTCAGCCTTGAGCTGAAGATCTAAGGGACAGTGCCCAGGCCCAGAGTTAAGAGCCTTTTAGTTAAGAGCCTTCACACAAAGAAAACTCTAGGTAAAGATGGCTTCTCTCATGAATTATTATGGGATAATTCTGAACAAACTTTTCCAGATAAGTATGCCCTTATTCTATGACCAAAGTATTACCAGAAAAGATTCAAAAAGAAAGATAAAATCCTAGAGACTAATAGCCCTCATGAATATAGACCTACAAATTCTAAACAAAATATTAGCAAACCAAACACAACAATACATGAAAAGGAACTTATAGATGTTCAACTTTCAAAAATTATAGACAGTGTCTCACTCTTATAGTCCTAGCCGCTCAGGAAGCTGAGATCTGAGGATTAAGGTACAAAGCCAGCTCAGGCAGGAAAGTCCTTAAGATGATTATTTCCAACTAACCACCAAAAAAATCCAGAAGTGGAGATGTGTCTCAAGTGGTAGAGCATCATCTTTGAGTGAAAAAGCTAAGAAACAATGACCAAACCTTGAGTTC